TGTTCAATTGTCGGTAGTCGATACATAGGCGTAGGGCTCCTGATCGTTTTCTAACTAAAACGACTGGGCTTGCATATGGGCTAGCAGACCCCCTGATGATCTTTCATTCAAGCATGTCTTGCAGAAGTTCACGAACTTCTGATGTCTCGTTGGGGTTAATTCTTCGATATGGCAGGCGTATTGTCTTGTCAGAGGTCACCTTTATCTCATGAGGGATAAGATCACACTGTCCCAAATCAAACTCATCTCTGGAAAAAGCTGCTTCATGATCTGCTAGAAGTTTAGCAATCCTAGATGCCTCATGATAGTCCATCCCACATAAGCTGAGGCCATGAGGAAGCAATACTTCTGTTCCATCAGTGAAGGTAAACGTTTCCTGTGTAGTGATATCATTTGTTGGTTGGGTTTCTCCTCTGTGTTCGAACTGGCCAACATTGTCGTTGTCATCTTGAACCGATTCTGTTGTGGCAATCATTACATTACAAACATCCACCTCAAGTTGGTCCTCTCTGTTTTGAAGATGAACTTCACTTCGTTCTTCTACTTGCACAGCAGATGCCACAATTGAGTGAGGTGGTAGGATGAACTCATTTTCTCCAGCATTAATAAGGAGTAAACGTAACTCTCTATTCCCGGTAGCACAACCTTCAATCACATGAACTTGAGAACTCTCCAGCTTAGTCAGATCCTGGATGAACCAGACACTTGACTCATTGGCAGCTTCACCACCTTGAGAGGACTTCATCGCACATTCTACATGTTGTATGGTCCTGGCTGGCAACACTACCTCCAAGGCACCCGTGACAACCTCTCGTATTTGTGCATTGTCCACTCCTTTAAATTTCAAGCAGTCCTTTACTAACTGGAATTCTTCTTGAGTTTCCTCTGGTGGAAAAAAAGCTCGTAGTGCATTACATCCCAATAAAATTGGGAAGTCTTTTTGTCTAGCTCCACAAGACTCTCGGTTCACGATAAGGAACCCGACGGAAGCTTCTTTGCCGTTCAGCAAAACTCGAGTGCGGATAAAGCCTTCTACAGGAACCTTTGTTGGACCCACCCCAACAATTTTTACCAGTTTTTTCAATGGGCTGACATCTCCTGCTGCTTCCTGAAGCTGCGAGTGAAATACGTCTGAGGGTATTATCGAAGCCTCTGCTCCAGTGTCTAAGACGCAACCAATTTTCACGCCGGCAACTTCTGCTATTGCGGTCGGACTTTCTGAAACCAATTCTGTTTCGCTGTCACACATTATTTCATCTATTGTCAGCGCAGCTTCTTCCAAAGTGGTCTGTCTGGAATGTGCAAATCTCGTTTCTGTGTCAATCTCCCTCTTGTCTGTTATAGGCGTGTCGGCTTGTAGCTTATGGGAGCTTTGTCCCATGGGCTCTTCTGTCTTGTCCTGTTGTTCATTGTCCCCTGCTGTTTTGCCCTTAACAGCAGAGGAAGCTAGTTTTCCGCCTGCGGGGTGACATCCTGGTGAGGAAGGTGACGTTGGGTGGCATGTGGCGGGGATGGAGCCTGATAACGTGTTGCAGGCAAATTGAAGTTATCCTGGTTCCTGGTACCCGACTCCTGACTCCAAGCAGGAAAATCATAATTCCTCTGGATGGCATGTGGCTGGGATGGAGCCTGATAACGCGTTGCAGGCAAATTGAAGTTATCCTGGTTCCTGGTACCCGACTCCTGACTCCAAGCAGGAAAGTCGTAATTCCTCTGGCTTCTGGGTCCATCCGAGAAGTTGTAATTAGAAGCAGCAGCGGGGAATATGTTGGTAGGCATATGTGTCATGTTGGGACACTCCCTTATAAAGTGTCCCTTCTGACCACAATGAAAACATCCACTACTCACCCTCCTTCTCTGAGGTTTGGCATTTTTCAATCGTGTAACCTCCCCTCTCAGCTGTTCTAGTTCAGTCATAATAGTTGTCTGTTGGTCTACCATCTGTTGCAGAAGATGTGCAGAATCTGATGTGACCACCCGTCCGACCTCGACGTCCGCTTCTCTGATTCTGGTACGCTGAGCTGTTGGAGACTCCTGGAAAAGCTGGAGCGCCTCTGCTCTCATCCTATTGAACCCACTGGGCCCATGAGTTAATTGGATGCGTCTCAACTCCCTCCTGACCCAAGCCTCACGTGCGCCATTTACAAATTGGTCACTCAAAGCTTTGTCTTTTAATTGTGCCAAAGCTTCACCTTGGGCTTGGGTGATTGCTGCCTTCTCCAGCTTTATGTATAGGCGTATCAAGGCCCGGCTGAAGTCACAAAGCGATTCCCCTTCTCTCTGTACGCGGTTATGGAACTTGCTGCTCAACGACTGTGTATTTTCCTCGTAGCCAAAACATAGTTTAAGACATGCTACAACTTCATCAAAATCACGTCTTCGGGATTCACTAAGGCACATAATTTCCTCCCTTGCCGGTCCTGCAAGGTGATCTACAAGAAGTCTGGCCTTACTGCCCATTTCCATGTTGTGTTGAGCAGTGATCTCATAGAACTCCTCAAGCCATTCCGATAGTGCAATGTCGTTTGCGTGTTGTGGTATTCCCCTAAACTTGGGCAGGTTGCTCTGGAGAATGCTCTGTAGCCCAATGGAACGACGAAAGAACTGTGACAGCATGTCCATGTCTGAAGGTTGCTCCCTTGGTGTCATAGTAGGTCGTGTGGATGATGCTGTCGACGTGGTAGTTGTTGTTGTTGTTGTCACAGTTGTTGTCGTAGATGTAGGGGCCATTTTCCTGCACTTAAATGTGTTAATTATGAAATTCAACAGGAACAATAATATTTCACAACAAGCAAACTTAAACGAACAAATCATCAATCATGTGTATCATTACATGAACATGTTCTTCAAATTCATTAATGGTCACAATGTATCTGACCGAGGCTGTTGAATGTTCACTGTCTGTCCAATGTTCACTTTTGCCTCCGGACGTTGCTGACACCAAATATCGCCAGCCGACGACGTCACGGCCGCAAGAAGTTGGAGGTTGGTCAGTATCCGTGCAGATGATCTCAGTCCAGTTGTCCCTCGCCGTCAGTCATCCCACTTCTGACACCATTGTTGAGATTCAGAAATGACAACAGCTAGGGAGTCCAACGTAAACTTTAGTCTTGCATTTATTCACCAAAGAAAACACAGCCCCGGCCAATACTATAACGACGAAGCAACACTAACGCTATATGCTGTCGTCCGACCCCTGATCATAAACAAAGCTTCCACCTTATTGTAGAAAGTGTAGTTCATCAAATAAGGAGATTTCACCACATGCAGCCATGAATTGTGATCTGCCAGAAGTAAATAACAATCTCCATTAGCAGGCACAAATTAGTGCTTCTCTCCTCTCTCTCCAATCTACAATGTCTCTCTGTCCCTGCTATAGCAGCTCTGGGTGCACAGACCCCGAACAAAAGAAAATCACTCATCCACTAAAACTTACAATAGGATCCCCAATCATGCCTATAGGGTATCAGTACATTGGGCAATACAGGTACCCCCAAAAAGGCGGGAAAGTAAGGCTATTGTCTGATGAGGAAGGGGGGGGGGGTAGCTTACATTGTAGACTGCTCCACCTACAATTCCTTATACACTAATGCACCAATACACTATAATACATTATGGCATAATTACCTCAACATTTCATATTACAACATACAGAAGGGAGGAATACATGAGCCATAAACTGTTGAGAGATCTAAATAAGGAGATGAATGAGGAAGACAAGAGAAAGAAGAGGAGAAAGGAGAGAGAGAGAGAGACAGAGAGAGATAAAAATGATAGAGGAAAGAAATAGAATTAAACTGAGAGCTCAAAAGAAGGGATAAAGGTGAGAAAAAGAGAAAGACAGACAGACAAAAAGAGAAAGAGAGAGAGAGAGAGAGAGAGGTAGAGAGAGAAAGAGAGAGAGAGAGGTAGAGAGCAAGCTGCAATGAACAGGGGTAAGATAAGGGGAGCCAGTGAAGACCTTATTGTAATACGGGTAGCATGCTAATCAACATCCATGCCTCAATCCATCATAGCATGACATGAGCTTGTGCCTGTCGATTGTGTTGGCATCTTGTAAACAACGGTCGATGAGCAATAATATTGGACGGGTGCAGGAAATTGGGTGCATGCATGCTCTGTTACTAGAATAGCAGACTGTACTTTGTTTACGTTTTCATAATTTGTGCATTGACTTATTTTTCTTTTGTTTTAGGATGTCCGAAACATTTTCCTTTCAAGGATTTTGAACAGAGTACAGGGATTAGTCTTTAATGTATTTTTAGAATGTTCGTAGTACTGTAAATTGGATTTCTAGCCTGACCTGCATTAAGTGTTAAATGTTACTAGAGCCATGGACTATGTAAATGCTAGATGGTATTCTCTGACTATGTGCCATTGAATTAGAATAGGGGCTCATGCACAATAGTTTTCAAGCATTTTCTTTGACTATTGCTTCCCCATGTACCGTTACATATACTTGTTTACCAAGTCTCAGACCGTATTAGGCAATTAAAAAAGAAGAAATCATGTTAAGCGTCCTGCCCGCTTCCTTTTTGGGGGCCGCCTCCTTTTTTTAATTTTAAAAATAAATAAATTATTAATTAAAAACAAAATTTTGGTGGCCATCTTGAAAAATAGCCGACTGTCAGGGAAAATGTACCGAGCAGCAATTTTGAAGAAAAAAAGGGCCTCCTCTTTTTAAAAAGAGTTTATAGTTTAATGTGAAGGTTAGTCATATATGTTTCCATTCATTGCACTAACGATTAAAAAAAAAAATTTAAAAAAAATCATGCTTCCTGGTAATTACCGGATGCATTACTAAGGCAAAATCATGTGTCCGGTAATTACCGGAAAGCATGATTTTGCCATGTACCCGGTAAATCTGTAAAATAACTATTATCATTATTATTACTATTACAATAATTTCATTATCAGTATTAATACTATTATTATTATTAATATCATGATTATTATCATTATTATTATTATGATTATTTTTATTTTTCTCTCTTTGTAGGCATGAGTGGCTCAATGGATGGAAGTCTTGATGATGGTCTCTCTCAGAAGAGTGGTGGGGAGAGAAGACAACTCATAGCAGAAATGAGTAAGTTTGTAATGGTCCTCTTTAAAGATATAGACCGGTAGTGGTAAAATTGCGGTTCAAGGGTTTTGGGTGCAAAATATCAATTCAATGTTGTTTAAATATTGCCTTTAGAGGTTTAGATGGCAATACTTTAACCTATATTCGCAAAAAAACAGAAATATAAGCCCAAATGTTGAATGTTGAAGTGCATTCGCGATATCTATCCAGGCCGGATCGATATTATAATTTACCAAATATATCAATTCGTTCCTATTTTCACGAAGTGAGGGTAGTGAGGAAAATCCGCATGCAAATTGTATGCGATTTTCATTCACTACCGTCACTTCGTGAAAATAGGGACGAATTAGTACGCGGTTTCCCAGCAAAATTTGTATCATCACGTACATGTATTAGTCAAAAAAAATTTCACGTGATTGTCTAAGAGCTTCCATTTCATTTTTTGAGAGGGGGGCGTTTCCAAAACTGGTCTATGCCTTTAACCTTTCTCTTACTTTATTTCTAGCCTCTTACATTGATGATGGGATCAGTTTCCAATTATCTTGTAATTTCTTTGCCCTTGTTGTACTGTGCATTCTCCATCTACATGTAGTCTAGTCTGCCATTAAATTGTTATTGCTCTCTCATAGTCGGCATAGTTTGTGTTCACTCATTTTCATCCCTTTGAAGGTTTTTTGGGAGTATGATTTTTAAAATGTACATAAAATATATGTGTATACATCTCATCATGTTTTGTTAAAAGCTTGCTGTACTCTCAAGCGCAATCTTTGTCTCTTTTATGAGCCCACTCTATATTGTGTTTTGGAACTGTTCTGATATCCATGAATCCAATCCAACCCAAAATGCACTACAAGGTTTACTATCCGTAGAGGATATGAACACACAGTATTCTCTAGTTTAATGTAACACTCATCTATCTTGTAGCCAGGTAGAATGGCTGTGTCTTTTTGTTCAAAACATTTTAAATATCATGACGTTTCCATGGCATGAGTAGGCACTCTTCTCATCCCTCCCTCCCAAGCTGTGTCCCTTTTCTCTCCTTCCACTCTCTTCTTGTGTTCCCGTTGTTCCATCAAAGAGCCTGCTTACTCATCCTTTGACCCACTCTTGTGTCACCTCACAAAATATAACTTAAACTTAACTTGATTTTATCTTTTATTGCCTTAGTCATATTGGTTATGAATTTAGTTATTAACTGTATATTATACTTTGTGCAAATATCAAACCACATTCGTATGTATTATTGCCGATGTAAATTGTACATAATTCAGCCATTTGACTGCGAAGTGCAATCATAAAAAGTCTTTTTCAATCAAATCTTTATTCTCTCATTCCAAACATACATCCCACCCCTCCCTCGCATTCTTCCCCACTACCCTCATCCTTCTCTTCCCTCTATCCTCTTCTTTTGTCCTTGACCTTCTTCTCCTCTGCCTCCTCTCTCTCTCTCCTGGCTCCTTCCTCTTCCCCTCCTCTTTCCCTCCCCTTCCTCCTCCTCCTTCCTCCCCTCCCCCTACATGTACAGTACATGTATTCTTCAGACCCCCCCCCCCCAAAAAAAAAAGAAGCACTGAAACCTCTTTTCCCTTCTGTCGTTGTTTTCCTGCTCCTCTTCCTTGGTGTGTTAAGGACACTACTTTCATTCAGTATGTTTTCACATGAAGTCAGTCTCAAGCACCATCTGAAAGCCCTACACACGTCAGCTCAATGTGATCTGTATGCCAGCTCACAACCCTCTTAGTAGTCTTTCAACTGAACTCTTCATTGGTGGAAATTTTGAAACGGAATAATCAAAAGCGTTGAAACTGTACAGGTTACAAGCACATATCTACGTATTTTTAAACAAATTTTCATCAGGAGCTTCTTTGTTTGATTGATTTTTAATGTGTTTTTTTTTTAATTGATATCTATTTCATTGAAGGATCTACATGTACATACATGTGCAGGTACATGTACATGTACAGTACATGTCCACATTATACAAGGCACATACTATGCATTAAGATGCATTTTGAAATTTTTAGAACAATATTTTGTAAAACTTCGAAGGGAGACAGTTTCTTTATTTTACATTTACACACAAATATTTTAAAATACATGTACATTTGTATGTCTGTAGTTTAGGTAAATAAAGAATCAATGTTTACATTTGTTTACTACTCATATCAGCATGCCCTTGTAAATACAATTTTTAATTTTTATTTCCACATTTATCTTAAACCTTAAGTCCCTTTAAGTTTGTAGTGTTGTTTTGACCACGTAGCATCTTAGGATGTTATTCTTAAAGACTAACGAGGTCTTTCATTTTTTTCGTTCATATTTATTTCCACATTTATCTTAAACCTGAAGTCCCTTTAAGTCTGTAGTGTTGTTTCGACCACGTAGCTAGCGTCTTAGGATGTTGTTCTTAACAGGGTCTGTCGTTCGTTCGGCCGGCCGGCAGTGCTCAAAGATGAAAATATCTTGCACCCCGCAGGATACATGGAGATCCCACATTGTACTCACATTACACAAATTGCTTCGGCAGCGGTGGTGTGGCAATGGGGGCTGGCTGGCTGGGAAGATGGATAGATGGGGAGAGAAAAATTGAAAGTTGAGATGGGGTGAGAAGAATAGGGGATGAATTTAGATGCATGTAAATGAATGGGAGAGACAAACATCCCTGTGTACATGTATGTATGAGGTGTCTGCTAATGGAGGGAAAATGGGTTTTGCTTTGTATGTTATCACTGTCTGTACATTGGTGCACTTGACAGGTAAAGAATTTCAATAGGCATCCGTGTATTTCAGGATAAATTCAATACCGTAGGCATCCATGTATTTCAGTGTACACCTGTACATTACATGCATGTACCTGGAGGAGGAGAAGGAGAGACAACATCTTCATCAAATTCATGAAAACCCATGAAAATATAGTCCTAGTCTGTTGAGATTTTGTTATCTTTCTTAGCAACACCTTTTACAGTCTTGAATGAGATTAAATGAGAATGCAGAATGATCAGAATTAGTAATACATTCAATAATGGTTAGAATAAGAAACAGAGATATTCATGGTTCAAGATATGATGATTTGGAAGATTAGAGAGTAAAGAGTTGGATTGATTGTACCATGTAGCTAGGAATCAGATTGTAATGAGTTCCTGGGTGGAATCTCAGGCTGTACGTGATTGAGTAACAAATCAAGCGTATCTTGAAAGATTATCTGTGATAATTGGTCTGAGACGAGAATCTTTCCATCTCATTACCTCCTGTTACAGAGCAAAACTAACAGCCCCAAAGGACTTGTCATCAGATGTTATCATAATATGACAACATTGTGAAAGATTTATGAATTACCATACATCTATATCATGCTAGTATGTGTACATGCACTGAATGTTTCTTTTGTTTTGTTACTAGTACTTTCATTTTGAAAATGTTCTTGTGTCCACTGTTTGGAAACTTCTGATAAATAATATTAAACTAAAAGAGTATGTATTTCTATTATTTCACCCCCCCCCCTTGTGGTATTTCACTGTTAACATTTGAATGTCTCTTACACTGTATGTTCTTTTTTCCTTTATTTTTTCTTTCTTCAAATCTTTCTTTTCAGAGATGATAGGTCCAATCATTACGTATCTTACATGTATATTTAATAAACCACTTCTTCAATAGTGTTTTAAAATCACAATTTTCTGTATATTTTCTTCCTTGCAGGGAGCCAGAACTTTGACGTGATTCGTTTTGCCACCTACCGATGCAGCTGTAAGCTGCGCTTCGTTCAAAAGAGATGCAGTTGTAAGTAAACAAAAAATCTTTCTCACTTTGTTTTTTTCTCTTTTACCGGTACTCTGTTTTTCTCTCATACTCATGATAATGATTACATTGTGTCCTTCTATATATGGCTAGTTTGAAAATTAAATAAATACATTACCGTAATTAACGGTGTATAAACCGCCCTCGTGTATTAACCGCACCCCTTTTTTTCGCCCTAAATTTTTTTTTTTTTTTTTGGCCGACTCTGTCGGCAGCAAGCCAGGTCCGTGTTAAAAAGCCCACGCGGGAAGGCCTTTCATTTAACTGCGAGGTGCAGCTGAATGTGTAAGATCATTAATGTAAATTAAAAAAACAGTAGAGGACCTAGGATAGAACCTTGTGGAACCCATGTAATAGAAGAAAAATTGGAGGAATTATTATTATAAACTACATATTGAGATCTATCAGAAAGATTACTTTCAAACCAAGATGACAGACAAATTTGAGTGTTGTTCTAGTTAACGAGTGGTGAGTCAACACACCGATTAATGAGCTGGGAGACATTGCCAGGCATAGCGCCAGGTGGAAGGACATAAATTGAAACTTAAATTATTATTATTTTTTTTTGTTTTTTTTGTTGGTGTTCCGTGTATAAACCGCATCCCCGACTTTGAATTCTTTTCCGCGGCAAAATAATCCGGTTTATACACCGTTAATTACGGTAGATCATAAGCATTAATTAGACTCCTGTATTAGATAAACACCTCTTGAATAAAACAGAAAAATCAATACAAATAACGATCTTGAATCCCCACCCTTCATGAATATCCAAAGCAATTTATTTGCATATTCATAACAGTTAGTAAATAACATGTAGTGGTGACTATACTCTCTAGTCTTTGTTTATAAATTATGTAGACCTACAATATATTCCTGTTACAAAGCAACATGTGTTGTCTGTATAGATGCTGCTCAAAGCCTCATGTAGCATTAAAAATCGATGCTGTGTTTGTAATTTACTCCAGACTAGTGGTATGTCCTGGCTGGTTGCATGTAGATGGGATGATGTTTCACTAGGATCATTGATTGATCCAGCTGTAATATGAAGGGTTGGTAAAGCCATGGATCTATAGTGTCTCTGCAGGCTGTTGATACTAGTCTCTGTTCCCCGAGGGTCTATAGAGCGCTTTTGCAAACACGACGGAAGGCAAAGACGACGGTAACGCAAGCGAAAAAAAACAATCTGCACACGCGCAAACCAAAATTATCTCTGTCCTGTTGATTTTCGCGACTGCACGCGGACATTATAGCGTTTGTTCCCTAAACACGACGGAAGAGCTGTATCCCCGTAATTCTCCCGTTGTCTTTGCTTCCGTCGTGTTTAGGAAAGCGCTCTTATGCAAGCCAGAAGGGCGTTAATTCATGCCCTTATTAAACAGATGATGCTATTTGTAGTGTCAGAGCTATAACAGTATTAGAACTCTGTATGAAGCAATTTTCCCAAACATTGTCAGGCCTCGTATGTGGCACCATATATTGATCATGCTACATAGCCCTTGGGCCTCTACTACATGTAGCTTGAATTCCTCGTGATAAATGGCGTCACCAAAAATTAAACGCAATTTGACTTTCAACAGATGAGGATTTAGGATTGATTTTTTTTTTAGCTTCACTAGGTACATGTGCTGGGTATTTTTTAATGCAAGAGGCCCCCGGTCTCCACATCAGCGTGCATCGTAGAAAAGCTGAATGAAAAATAATTAGAAGTATGATCAACATGTAAATCTACCTGTGTATATGTTGTGTACATGTACATAGGTACATTTGCATCGTGCATGAGTAAAATTGGTATGCATGTCTTGTTGATTGAAATGTTGGAGAATGCGAGAAAAAAAATTACATTTTATATTTGTTTAGTTTGAGTTCAGAATTTTTAAAATTAATATCATCTTAATCTCCCAGTCACCTTGCATACACGTGCATTCAACATACAGTACATGTACATTAATACATGTAGACTCTACATGTTTAGTAATAGTATCAAACCTACCATTCATATAACATTTAAAAAAGCAGATCAGAATGAATGACTTTCCATGCACTAACCTCACTGCCTTCAGTCAGAGTCACAAATTGATGTATGTTTGCTGAATTCATTACCTCAAAATGATAAATTGATGGAATGCAAACTTGATGATCTTTGATTTGAGACTCTTGTTTATATAGCTCTAGCATGTATACCCAAGCAATGAGATGGATGAGATGAATAAACAGCTTTATTGGAACAATCTATTCCACAGTTGTCATTCATTCATTCAAACTCTGTAAATAGCATCTTGATACATCTTAAGGTATTGTGTATTCCACATCAGGGGGTATTTCACAAAGATCCTAAGTCAAACTTAAATCTAAGTTGGACTTAAAATTTATGGAGTGCCATTTGTAGCCTTAAAATGAAATATATTCAAAAGCAAAAATTCAAGAATTCTAGACTTTTCATGAATTCCACATCAAGAACATGAAATCTCCTTCACAATAAAAAATATGAATGATTTGAATAAACATTTTATACCTTGTAAAATAACTTTTACAAAATATTTTCAAAGATGCTAACGGCTTTCCATAACTGTTATGCCCAAATTAGAGATTAGTTCAACTTAAGATCTTTGTGAAACACCCCCCTGGATGTGTATAGAATTTAAAGTTTTAGTTTATGTAGATTATTTGTCTAATTGATTAGGCAACACTGTCCTAAATGCCACCAAAATTAGCCTGTAGGTCTTGATACATGTACATAGTCACAATTATTTCTGTAATAATTTCATTTTTCAAGGAATTTTGTAAAATAGTCCACATGTGAAGAAGCACAATATTTTTACTTAGCATACATGTACATCGTATGCTAGGTTACATTTACATGTTCATTAAACCTGTACAAATTTAATCGGAACAAAATTTGATTGTGGATAAAGAAAAATAAATCATAATATATACAGATAATATATGACAATTTATTATGTACATTGAATAAACATAGGACATGTACTCTATACCCTTTACTGTATTTTAAGTATTTTAAGAATAAGCAGCCTATACGGGCCTAATAATTAACCGCTTTAAATTGGTTTCCAGATTTTTTCCAGATTTTTTTTTTCCCCCATTTTTTTTTTCTTCCTGATTTTTCCCTGATTTTTCCCAATTTTCTTACTCAAAAGGGGGGAGGGGTTGTTTGAGATGCCAATTTTTTCCCTGAATTCTTTTTTCTTTTACTCGAGGGGGGGGGGGGGGAGCTGTTGAGGAAAAAACACTATTTTTAAGAGCTCACTATCCCCCCTGCCTATCATTCATGAGGAATAAGATAAGAAGACTGGAGTAATGAAGAGGAAAGCTGTTTGACCTTTAGTATGTGTGATGTATTAGAAATGACACATGTGTGTTTTCTCTTAGATCAAAGACAACTTTACAAGCAGGTATGGATTGTTAATTAAAGCTAGCCCCTCCACCTAACACACTGATGTGTTAAGACATCCAGACCTCTTTCACACTAGCGAGATAAGAGCGTTGTAAGTAGGATGAGTTCAGAACCCACTTTACATATATATACATGTAGATCCCGATGGTTATTAGAGCTAGCCCCTCCACCTATAAACACACGCTGATGTGATATCAAGACCTCTTTCACACTAGCGAGATAAGAGCGTTCTAAGTGGGATGAGTTCAGAACCAACTTTACATATATATACATGTAGATCCCGATGGTTATTTAGAGCTGGCCACGCTGATGTGTTAAGACATCCAGATTATTAAACCCTGTAAGTCGCACCTTTGATTGGGGTAGCGGCAAAAAGTATTGGTTCAATTTTTTTTTTTTTTTTACTGTTGTACTTGAAATTTTGAGCACTCTAATACCTAAAATTACTCATACCTTAGATAATTCTCTCATTTGAAGTTGTTGTAGTACATGTGTAAAACTATTTTCATCAAATTCATGCCGTTACATGTCAAAAATTGAAGAAGAACACATGTATACAAAATATTTAAAAAATTGAAGAAGAAAAAAAAACACCAAGTTTAAAAAAAAAAAAATGTTGATAATAAGTGCCTTTTCATGACTTTGAAATTAATGAAATCGGTCAAGGAGAAGAGGCAAAACATGCGAGCCGCCATCTTGGATTAAATGGTTAATGTATGGCAGATACCGGTACCTGAAAATAAGCATTAGTACAGAGATGTTTGAAAATTCTTCAAGCTTATCAGGTGCACTTTATAAAACATACAAAATTCACATGTACATGAAGTCCGTTCAATGTTAACTTTGAAGTGTGAATGAGTTACATGTGTAGGTGTATAGTGACAGAGTAACAGAAAGGGTGGTAGAACTTCTGTGCAGTTACTCACAAGAAATATAAAGTGTAAAAGGTGCAATGTCGTCAGGCTAATAGAAATTGATAGGAGAGAGAGAGAGAGAGAGGGAGAGAGAGAGACAGAGAGAGAAAGAGAGAGAGAGAGAGAGAGAGAGAGAGAGGATGGTTCAGTGCATGTACATACATGTAAATGGAGATGAATGAATGAACTGACATCTTTGGAAAAGGTTAAATATTAGAGCCATATTTGTAGTTTATGCATGCATGAATTTATAGTGCTTAATGTATCCATATCTACCTTAGATTACTGTTCTGTGTTTTGGGGTTTGTTTTTTTTTAAATTTGATTTATTGGTTTCTGCATCTTTTTCTTTTTTTCATCATACATTTTCATGAACATAATATGGTTTGATACAATATTTTAAGTGTATATAATTTAAAAAAAATAATAAACAAAATTAAACAAATATATTGAATGCATAATTAAATACATTAGATGCAGGAGGCCCACAGAAATAAGCAAAGTAGATTGACGTGCCCGCAGCCCTCACTTAGATACAACAATAAAAATTAAAATAGAAAAGAGTGACTTGCTTAGAAGAAAAGGAAAGGGGAGAGAAGGAGCGTTGGTAAAATTACAATAAATGTCATACATCTGCTGATTGAATGTGGGTTCATTCTTGAATGGATGGATGTTTAGACTGAATATCTGAACGACATCTAATCAACATCTAATCAACATTCTGGAATGTGATCAAAGCTGAAGTCTGAACAACATTATCCAACCAGTATATATATGATGAGATATAAATAAAAAACTATCCAATAAAGTATACATGTATGTAGAAACTGGGACCCGGTACGATGATGAAAGCATTTGTGTAGTAATTGCCTATGCCCTCATTGCCGGTGACCATATTGTAAGGATACTCCCAGGGAGTGGAGATGGTGCACATGGTGCATGAATGATTCTGATGAACGGGGTAATAATATTTTGTAAAGCGCTTTAGAGACGATATACCTTATTAAATCCTGTCTGTACTAGTGAACAGGAGGGATTAGACCACCCTGTAAGGTCACCGGCAGGTGGTTATCTCATCAACTCAGCTCTCAATTAATATAAGAAAAAATGGTCACCGCTTAGGCATTGTTTGCTATATAGAGGGCGCTAGTAGTTACAAGTAGTGCAGTGAGGCTTTAAGTGCTATATAAATCCAAATTATTAATTGTTATTATCATGTGTGTATTTTTTTTGTTTTTTTTGTTCTTTCAGTGCATCTGGTTGACATATGGAACATGATAGAAGCGTTCAGAGAGAACGGTCTGAACACCATGAGTTTATCAGATGAACTCTCAATGAGCCGGGTGGAGACCATTCTATCCAGTATCTATTACCAGCTCAACAAGAGACTACCAGCCGTACATCAGATCAATGTCGACCAGTTTCTAAGCTTGCTCTGTAACTTCCTGCAGACAGCTTATGATGAGTAAGTCTCCATCAATTCTTCTTCTTCAAGGGAGGAGGATGACATGTAGAGATCTGTCTTGAATCTAGACGGATCAATATCTTTTATTCAGTTCCTAATCTCTAGAGTGTGCATGCATCATTCTGAGTCTCGACAAAACATTATCATTTATTCAGTAACCAATCTTTCATTCATTATTCAATTCAAACTATTGTTTGCTTTGTTTTTTGAAACGACATTAAAGATAATGCTGTAGAAGGTTTTAAGATTTTACCAGATTTCATTTGTTTTAATCATTTGTGTTTGATTTCTCACATGAGATCATGTGCAGTTGTAAGATAAATGTATCAATATATGTTACTGTAATCAAAATTTGTCACTTAAAGCATCTATCTAAACTTGAATGGCTTACCATGCATTGTTTTAAATGCCAAGATTAATCACATACAAAGTACTGTTTTTTATTCATGTAATATGTCAGGATATTTGATTTAAATGGGATTATTTTCTATATCAATTACTGAACTCAAGTAGTGACCTGTATTAAGCTAATGAGCATTTGAGGATGTAGTGTATGAACTTATCCATGATTAGATGACTTAAATTATGCACATTTATGTCACTTTAAGTAGCAATAATGAATAGCGATAGCAACACAGGGCTTGGAGCAATTAGGCATAGTAGATGCTGTGACCCACTTGTATGAAATATTGATGGATGCCGTGGTCTAGTTTCCTCTTTTTCTTCCTTCCCTGGTCAATACAGCGGAGCCACAGGCAAGATGACAGTCTTTGCCCTCAAGGTGGCGCTTTCTACATTGTGTGCCGGCAAGCTGTCTGACAAACTGAGATGTGAGTATTATGATAATGGGTTTAGATAGGTTGATCCATATTGTAGAGATGGCACTGATGGAGGAGTGAGAGAAGGAGAGAGAGTATTATGATAATGGGTGCAGATAGGTTGATCCATATTGTAGAGATGGCACTGATGGAGGAGTGAGAGAAGGAGAGAGAGTATTATGATAATGGGTGCAGATAGGTTGATCCATATTGTAGAGAGGGCACTGATGGGGGAGTGAGAGACAGAGAGACAGAGAGAGAGAGAGAGAGAGGGGGTGAGAGAGAGAATGTGTCAAATGGGAAGGGGGGGGGGGGAGATGAAGAATGATGGAGAAAGCAAGAGGGAGAGTGGAATGGGAGACAGAGAGAGGTGGTTGGGTGGAAAGAAAGATGTGAAGAAAGAGAGAGACAGAGAGCCAGAGAGAGGGGAGAGAAAGAGATGAAGAGAGAGAAGGACAGAGAGAGGGAAAGAGAAAGAGATGAAGAAAAAGAGAGAGAGAGAGAGAGAGCGAAGGGGGGGGGGGGGGTTGTGTTTTAGCAGTATCGGGAAAGAGAGATAGAATACAATAACAAGAGAGGGAAGTGCAGAATGCACTATATATTTTGTTTAATTCAGGTAAAAGCATCTCATGTTCTTTGTTTTGATAATCAAATGCCAAGGTTACATTTAAGTGTGTCGTAAATGGAAAATGTAATATTGTATGAAAAATATCTTTTATGTCTCTCGATGTCATAATGTCGTAAATGTCTTTTGTATAGTATGTCAAGGTTAGAAGGTATCACTGTTATTTTCTCTAACTCTAAAAACTCCTGTATATTGAGGAAGCCTGTCTAGAGCACTAAATTGATTTTATTACTTGTAGTGAAACATTTATTTTAAGTTTGACATTGTTGTCTTTGCTTTCCTTATATCGTTGCCCTTTTATGAAATAATAAAGCAAAGATCTACATGTATGTGAAATGCAGTTAGGATATCTAGGTTGTTTTGTAAAAATAAAAAGGGGAATTGAGATGCTTGGTATTTGTCTTCAAGATGGTCATTGGTCAGGCATGTTGACTTGTAATTGTGCTCTCAATTATTAATTATAAAATATTTTAATCACCAGACAGTCAAGTTTGCTTCTCATGTGAATGATCATAACTGAATGATTAGTTGGAGGACTTGGAATAATGTATCCAGATCTCATTGTAACATAATGATGTTTATTTACTCCTGTTACATGTAGCTCTTTCCATCCATTTTTCTTGTTTTCCCCCTTATTTTTCTGATATCAAACTTGTTAGCTCTTTCTATCTGTTTTTCCTGTTTCTGACATACATTTTTACTGATCTCTGTATCTCAATTTTCTAACTTTCAGACATCTTTTCTCAGATATCTGATGGTAATGGAATCTTGATACATTCCAAGTTTGATGAATATCTTAAGCTGGTTCTCCAGCTCCCTACAGCGGTATTTGAGGGTCCTTCATTCGGTTATGATGAAAACACTGCTAAGGCTTGCTTTGGGCAAGGACCAGTAAGTCAGATTACTTTATTTTTACCTTGTAACATGCTCTTTTAAAGCTCGTCTGCACTAGTTTGGCCAGGAGGGATAAGACCACCCTGCTGGTCACTGACAGGTGGCTATCTCATCAAATCAGCTCTCAATCAACATAAGAAAAAGAGGATCATGGGGGACCAACGGGCACCGCTTAGGCATTGTTTTCTATAAAGAGGAAGCAAGTAGCTACAAGTAGTGCAGTGGGGCTTTGAACATATAGATAATTTCATTTTGTCTCCTGTTAGGGTATATTTTTACTTGATATTTTGCATAGAGACATGTGGGATAGAATAGCCTTAAATCCAATATCCATTTCTACCACAGGGGATGGTCTAATAAAATGAAAGTATAATTGAAAAGTAATTTGGCCAATGTTAAATATTCTCCATTGTGTAAGCCTCAATACCTTCTACTCCACACTACAAACATATTTGTAGTACCGTACATGCACTTAGTAACCTTTCATTTCAACAGGTTGGGTTCAATTTGGGTTCAAAATGGGAGGGACTTCAACTAGTTATAAACCCTCACTCCAAATCGTAGATATCTTTAACTTTAAAGGTAAAGACCAGTTTTGGAAATGCCCCCCTCTCAAAAAATGAAATGGAGCTCTTATTACCAATCATGTGAAAGAATATGTTTGGACTAATACGTGATCATACAAACTTTGCAGGGAAACCGCCTACTAATTTTGCAGGGAAACCGCCTAGTAATTGATATATTAGGTAAATTATTATATCTATCCGGACTGGATAGATATAGGGTAGTCCCATATACATCTTTCTGTGTACAGTACTTGTAACTGTACCAAGACTAGGCCTAATTTCTTTTAATATTGATGATTCCACAACGTTTCTTTCACAATGCAATCGCATGACCAGAACTGGTCTATACCTTTTAACATAAAGGGAACTTCAACAAAGAGATTTAATTTGTTGAGTGAACAAATGTTCAAATTTGTATTCATCCTGGATTACCACATTTGCATGTACGTATATCATTCTTTGATATTTGTCAAAGATTAATTAATTTTGTTTGTTCTCTGTACAGAGTGCGAATCGTCGAGTAACCCTGAATGACTTCCTAGATACTGTGTTAGCTGAGCCAGGACCACAGTGTCTCATGTGGCTCTCTCTCATGCATAGAATGTCTAATGTGGAGAATGGTGAGTTGACTTCTGTCTATGAATGTAGTTCTGCATGTTAAAGAGAAGGTTGAATAAGGTCCAAGACCTAAAGGTAGACCAGGTCCACAGTGTCTCATGTGGCTCTCTCTCATGCATAGAATGTCTAATGTGGAGAACGGTGAGTTGACTTCTGTCTATGAATGTAGTACTGCATGTTAAAGAGAAGGTTGAATAAGGTCCAAGACCTAAAGGTAGACCAGGTCCACAGTGTCTCATGTGGCTCTCTCTCATGCATAGAATGTCTAATGTGGAGAACGGTGAGTTGACTTCTGTCTATGAATGTAGTACTGCATGTTAAAGAGAAGGTTGAATAAGGTCCAAGACCTAAAGGTAGACCAGGTCCACAGTGTCTCATGTGGCTCTCTCTCATGCATAGAATGTCTAATGTGGAGAACGGTGAGTTGACTTCTGTCTATGAATGTAGTACTGCATGTTAAAGAGAAGGTTGAATAAGGTCCAAGACCTAAAGGTAGACCAGGTCCACAGTGTCTCATGTGGCTCTCTCTCATGCATAGAATGTCTAATGTGGAGAACGGTGAGTTGACTTCTGTCTATGAATGTAGTACTGCATGTTAAAGAGAAGGTTGAATAAGGTCCAAGACCTAAAGGTAGACCAGGTCCACAGTGTCTCAGGCATAGAATGTCTAATGTGGAGAACGGTGAGTTAATTTCTGTTGCTACTGCTTGTTAAATGTAAGAAGTAGGTCCAAGACCAAAAGGTAGACCAGGGTACAAAGACCAGGGCCATATTAATTTCATTACACAGATTGAAATAAGTACTTTACTTAGCATTTGACTTGACTTAGTAAATTGTCTTAACTTGTAAATTGTCTGAACTTGTATTTGTTCACATTTTACGCAGTTGACTTTAAGTTCACTTTTACTTGTCTGTTACATTTTTTTTTTTTTAATAGTTTTTCTATTTACATGTATATTTGATGATCTGTGGATTTTGTTCTCACTACATTGATTTGATTTGATTTGATTTGATATGTTTCTACCCTGTTTCCAACTCTTCATGATTATGTGGTTGTTTTTATCTGAATTGTTGCAGTATTTCATCCTGTGGAGTGCAGTCACTGTCACAGTGATAGTATGATGGGCTTCAGATATAAATGCCAGCGCTGTTCAAATTATCAGCTGTGTCAGAACTGTTTCTGGAGAGGATATACCTCAGGAAACCACTCCACTGATCATGAAATGAAAGAATATTCATCCTATGTACAGGTAAGCTAGCTCATGCAATATTCATATATTATCTATAAAGGCTTCCAAGTGGTACAATAAATCAGTGTATTCAATATCTTTAGCGAAGTACCCGGATGACTGACCAATATTGTTTTCGTATTGCTCAGTCATCCGGGAACTTTACCTTTCAAAATTACACACACAAACAAAGCCATATTCACTGAGGTAAGTCAAATTTTGTTATTTCGCTAGTCAGCCTGATAAAGATAATAATAATAATAGTATATGTCTTTGTTTTTGTGTAATACAAGAATATATTGCTGTCACTATGACAATATTAGACTCGTCACTGACTCGTTCAATATTGTCATAGCTCGAGCAATATATTCTTGTATCACACAAAAACAAAGCCATACAATACTATTATTATTATCTAATAATAATAATATTGTTCTCAGAGGGGACACCAGCGAAAGTGTTGTTGATTTCCGATAATCAAGCAATATTGTATCGACAGTTGGAGTTCCCAGATGACAGAGCAATACGAAAACAATATTGATCTGTCCTCCGGGGACTGCGCTAAAGATATCAAATACACTGATTTATTGTACCACTTGGAAGACTTATATAGATAATATTGTTAGATAGCATGGGATGGCAACAAAGATTTCTGTAAATTATATTGTACAAGTTTCAAAGCATATCTTGCCATATCATTCTGATGTTGCTTACTTGTTTGATACACAACCTTGTATGAGTGCATGTACACGTAGGTCATGTAGGACATATTACGTAAAGTAGTCGGTAATCAAGCAAAATTTATGTTTAAATTATTTTTCATACTTATATTTGTACGATTCATATATGTGTGACAGGATACCTCATGTAATTTTGAAAATCGGTCACACCTTATGATTCAAATGATTTTATTTCTCATGCAGAACATAATACAAATCAATAATTATATTACAAAAATATGCAATGAAAAAAAAAAATATATAATAGAAAAAGCACAAGAAAAGAGGAATTAACTAGAAGCAGAGCTTGTTGAAGTTTTAGTTCTACCAAACTTCATTAAAACTTGATTTGAATTTCAGAAATCTCCGGCAAAGAAGATGGGTAAAGCTCTGAAGAAGCCGTTCAAATCACCGTTAAAACAACCAAGAGTTCAACACTATCCAGAAGAACCTGAAAGACCTCTCGACCTATCTCACATTGTGTAAGTCAGTCCATCAACTTTTCAAATTAAAGGATTGGGTAACTTTGCTTCAGATTCTGAAACAAAATCCTGGATTTTGCTCATGTTGCAATCATAATTATAAACCTTTTAGGTTAGTCAAGAACCCCATGACTTTTACAAGCTGATAGCCTGTCTGGTTATCAAGATATTTATGATTGGAATTCAAAATCAAATTTTGCGTTTTCCTAACGGTTTTTATAACACTACCGTCTATTGGGGAAAATGAGTATGTTAAAACTGGTCACTCAAAGTTTTTTACTTTTTGAAGCACTTCTTGATCATTTTGAAGCGCAATTTGTTTAGGGCTTCAATATTACACCATATCACAGACACTGATAACACGGAGGGCCTCGCATCTCAGATTTAACATTGTTAAATGATGCCTTTAAAGTCTGCAACTCTAATATTTTTATATTATCTCTACATTGTACAAACACGTTGAACTGGAAGAATTGAGGGGAGGAAGAGTAGGGGTAGAAGGAGGATTCTGTGGATGAGTAGCTTAAAGAGTGGGATTTCTGAAAGTGGAATTGATCTCGGGGAGAATGAATTACTTCATAGAATATGGGACAGAGAGTTGTGGCATTCCATGGTCGCCTACGTCACAGGATATGGCACTTAAAGAAGAAGAAGAAGAATTGTACCAAAAAAAATCATGGATCTGAAATGGAGATACATGGACAGAAACTATAATTCAATTTTTTTCAATTGAATTCAAATGAACATTTATTTTATCTGTTCAATCAATACAATTTATACGTAGGAATATAAATATAATTGTTATTTCATCTGTAGGCCGCCTTCCCCCATCACCATATTGACGTATGATAGTCCAGACAGTACTAGGATACTACGCACAGAGGAGGACTTCAAGAAGTAAGTTATACGTCATCTCTATCATCCCTTTAGAATATGAACCTGCCTATAGTGCATACAGGTCTGCCAAATGTTCCTCCGATTTAATTGGAATATTCAAATTTTTCAAAATTCTGAATGAAGCCAAATTTGTCTTGTTTTACCATCTGCCGGTCAGGCCGTTAGATCGCCTATTCAATACACATGTACATGTATGCCTGCTAAGGGTACAGATTTCTTGTTTTCAAATGTTGGCAGGTATGATAGACTTGGTCACTGCTATAGAATCGTCTTGTGTGTTTTTTCCCCTCTTGAGTTGAAATGTTTTCTGTTGAGAATCAGAAGGTATTAAATCATAAGGCCTTTTAAATTCAGCTCATGTAAGGACCAAGAAACAAGACCTAGAATATCTTGCTTACTATGGCCACTTTCTTGTTTTCATCAAAAAAGCCTGACCCATTTTCAGGTAGTAACAAAAGAAATGGTAAGTCTTCAATGGCTTCCTATTAGTGGTGCAGTCCTGATAATTTCCTGATTTTTTCTCCAAAAATGGATAGTCCCTGAGATCGATGTCAATCCGGATTAAAATTGGGGGGGGGGGGGGGGGGGTTGAGGTGCTGTTTTTGCATGACTTGCTTGAATGCCTTGAGCAAACGCTCAGATTTTTCTTTTTTGTATTGAAATTGTCTTCTTTTTTTTTTAGTCACTTCAAGGTACATTGATATATTGGACAAATCATTTACATACCAGTGAAAATGAACATTTGATTACATAATGCATTGAACATATAATTGTTGTGCACTGGCAGATGACTGAACATCTACCATCTTAATTCCTCCCTTTGACAAATCTTGGATCATTATATTCCTTCAAATTTTATCAGGTCCATTCCAAATAAATTTGAAAAACATATTCTCCATTTTCGTTAAGAACCAGTATGGTAATAACAAAGATAAAAACATGTAATAATAATAATAGGCATTTGTATAGCGCCGTCTATCTAGACAATGCTATTCCGAGGCGCACAAGAAAAATAGAAAGAATGAGAAAGTTTGATATTCCAAAGGATTTGATAATCTAAATTTTTCAGAATAAAGTTAAATTTCTCATTTTCCACATGTTCGAAGTGACTTGTATTGATGATAATATTTCTTCTGCTTTTTTAACCTGCACAGAATATGAGCTGATACCAACATAAATACCAAGTATTTTAATAATATTAACAAAATTCAGGCTGTGTCGGAAACCAGTGTATTTCTGTCTTACTTAGGTTTATAGTTAGACTGGAACATTTCTCAAATTGTTGGATAATATCAAATAATGAGTTTAGAGATTTTACATCTGAACAAAAATAGCAAAAATCGTCTGCATACATAGACAGCTTTAATTCACTCGTACCTGCTACTATATCTACTCAATTTCTAATCCGTAATGCAAGTGTTTCTAGACAAATTATAAACATATAGGGAGAAAGGGGATCTCCCTGTCTTACTCCTCTTGTAATCGAAAAACATCCTGTAGATTTACCATTTTTTAAAACACAACCTTATATATTTTTATACAAAGATTTTACCCATTTCATTAAAGATGCTCCAAAACCAAACGAATGTAAACATTGAAACATGTAATCATGGTCTAAAGAATCAAACGCTTTCTTAAAATCTACTGAAGCAATGAATCCTGTTTTTTGTTCGGTACAAAGAAAATGGAAAACATCATTTACATTTTGGATAGCTTCTCCTATTGCCCTCCCACGTATAAAAGCATACTGATCGGTGTCAATTATTTCATCTAAAACTTGTATTATTCTATTCGCCAACACCTTTTAATATACTTTTGCATCCACATTCATTAACGATATTGGCCTGTAGCTCTCCAAAAAAACGTTTGTCTTTATTTGGCTTTCAAATTAAAGAGATAACACTTTGTTTGTGACTTTAATATAGAGAGCTCGACCTCCTGGTAAAAATAATTCAAACAAATAAGTAAGGGTTTCCTTACAATATCTCAGAGATAATATAGAATTCTTTTGACAGTCCGTCGTTCCCCGGTGACTTTCCGGAATGCATTTCCATTAGTACATGTACTTTCGTACATTCATGTTCAGTGAGAAGCCCTTCGCATGAAATGGACGATGTCTCGGAGAGTTTCCTCCGTCCTGTTTTCAAAAACAAATCTGCATTTTCATCTGTTGTGTTTACCTTTGTTTTGTATAAAGCTATCGATAGAAATTTTTAATACTTAGTAAAATTTCTTGTTCATCTTCAAAGATATCAGTTTCTTTTGAAAGTTTTCTGATAGTAGAATTTCCTTTTCGCTGTTTTTCCAGTGTAAGAAAATATTAATTACTTTTCCCCCCATATTCAATCAAATTTCCCTTGGATCGAATGATAATGCTTTCAATTACATGATCATAATATTTTTCAAGAGCCTTTTTAGCTTCTTGGTAGTTTCTAATTAGTTCAGAATTCATATGTAACTTTGATTCCAAAATTTGTACCTGTTTTTCTAACTTTATTCTTTCTGCTTTTAGCTCTCTAGCTTTGTGCTTACTATACTTCTGTGTGTATCTTCGGATTTTGTATTTCAGGTAATCCCACCTGACTCTGGGGTCAGAAATATTATTGTTTGTTTCAACCATAATTGGAATTCTTTACAGAGACTTGTACAATAGTTATCATCTTGATATAAATATGTATTGAATTTCCTGTATCTTTTCCCTGGAATTAAGTCAGTAAATTTCAAAACTAATATCAACACTGAACAGTTGCAACAGAAGGTACATAAGTTATATTTGATACATTATCTTGAGAATCCTAAGGAATAAACCAGTAGTCTAGTCTACTTTGAATAGAACAATCCGTTTTTCTTCAAGAATATTGTTTCTTTTGAGGGTTAAGAAAACGCCATGTATCACATAGGTTGAAATCATTCAGTAACATAACAAGGTTGTCTCTACTAACATGTGAGTAGGACGTACTGCTTGAACTATTCATTCTATCTACCTTTGGATCTATAGCCACATTGAAATCTCCTCCTGTTTAATATGATGTCCTAGGGCTCTTTAATATTTTCCCATATATGTCTCAATTCAGACCAAAACTTTACCTGCTCCTGGTAATTGTTTGGAGCATTAATATTCCTTTAAGAACATCTTTCCCATTATTCCTACACTCATTACAATATATCTTCCTTCTTTATCTATGATTGTATTTGAATCTTGTAATCTAACCCTCTCTAAAACTGATTATGACCCCACGGCTATTATTCATCCCATGACTAAAATAAACATTACCTTTTATTTGGTGCTTTCAAAAAACTTCTTTATCTACCGTACTACCGGTATGTGTTTCTTTCAAGTACGGTATGTTATATCGACATTTTTATCATATAAAAACTTGAAAATCTTTTTCCTTTTTGTATACTTTCTCATTCCACGTACATTTATGCTTAATAATCGAATGTTCCTAGTCATGTATTAAGGTAAAGTTCTGCAACATCCAGTCCAAAGTATCATTGTTCTTTTTCTTTTTATGTTTGTTGTTGGCCTTTCGTTTCCTTTTTCTGCTTTCTCTTTCGTTGGTTGAGGATTTCGCAAATTCCGGAGATTCCGGCATTACTTCTGATTCACTATTGCTGGTATCTATCTCTTCTGAACCATCTTCCTCTACTCTTTTCTTGAAGAAATCCGTGATTTTGGTTGCGATTTGGTAGAAGCTCTGGTATAGGCCTGCTCTATGTCGGGTGCTTTGTGACAATTTTCTGCTATACTCTTACTAGGCGCTTGGAGGGTGGGCGTGACGGGGGGGCGTTTCGTAAGGTGTATGAAATCGTCATCGTATTGCTTGTTTTCACTGAACTTCAATTCGAGTGACATTGCTCGCTTTTCTCCTGGGCCCTGTGATTGAGCTGTAACATTCCTGTCTTTGCGTTGTACAGCTGATTCACTCGGCGTGCTCGGTAACCTAGCTACCTCGCTTCCAGCTGTGGAGGGGCATGCGTATTGCATATGCCCTACTTGTCAACAAACCCGGCATACCTTTTCATTCGTGCAATGCGACTTGTGATAGCCATCCTGAAAGCATTATGAGCAAATGGGGACCTGTGACGCATTCTCTTGCCCAAAATGAAAAACTCTTAACTCTGAAGGTATGGAACCTCATAAATCTTGGGAGGGGTCGATTTGGGAGATCTACAAACACCACTCTTTCCCCTGCCATACACTGTGTTAGTTTACCATCGACTCTCAGCTTCTGAACCTACAATGGCCCGTGTACAGGGTGTACCTTGCATTTCTTGTTTTCCAACTCCCCAAGAATGATACTTTCATGTACCGATAGTGGAATGTCTTTGATTAGTATCCGAGTCGCATTCTCATTATCGTATGTTACAAACTAAGGGATTTCTATCAAAAACTTGCACCACAGAGCCCCGAATTTCAAGGCCTTGAGTTATAAGTTTGATCCTATTAGCTTTGGTATCTAGCCCTCCGATCTGTTGAATGCCGGCTATATCCTTATAACGCACAGCTGTACCTAAGGCCTTGAACATAACTTCGGGTTTGAGGCGCCCCGCCCATTTAATATCGTCATGCTTTATGAACATGGGCTTACCTCGATTGGTATCTGCTACTGGCGCCGCAGCTCTGGCGTAAGCATCTTGCTTTCCGTGATCTCTTGTTGCCATCTTTCTCACCGCTTTACAACGGTTGTAAATTCTCCTTTCCTAGAGTTTCTCCTTCATTAACGTCCAAAATATGGTGTCAACATCACTGATGATCCCCAACTGATATATCCAATGTAAAGTTAATTCTTTATCTAATTTATAAACTGTAGAATTTCTTCTGTTTTCTGAGAGCTACTAATAAGTAAATTGTAACACTTGAAGTGACGTGTTCTATACTCGGATTTCTAAAACTTTTCTTTTGTAAACTCTCACTATGACCCCTGGGGGGTGTTTCACAAAGATCCTAAGTGGAACTTATCACTAAGTTGGACTCAAAAATTATGGACAGCCATTGGAGCCTTTAAATTAAATATATTCAATAGCAGAAATTCAAGTATTTTAGACTTTTTATAAATTCCACATCCAGAACATGAAATCTCCTTGATGATAGAAAATATGAATGATTTGAATGAACATTTTATGCCTTTCAAAATAACTTATTCAAAATATTTTCAAAGATGCAAACGGCTTTCCATAATTTTTAAGTCCAACTTAGTGATAAGTTCCACTTAGGATCTTTGTGAAACACCCCCCAGATGGTGGAAAGCACTACTAATGGGTGAGCTACTCGAAGAAAGCTACTTTATATAGACTTCCATATGGTGATGTTGTCATGTTCATTGTGATATTTAAGTGGAACGAAATGAAATTGTCTTTTATTATGTAAAATGTAACATTCAAGCTGTAACTTCCTTCTTCTTATCTTCTCTCTCTTCTTCTCTTCCTGTAACTGTCTTAACCTTGTGCTATCTTGTTCTTTCCTCTGTCCTCTGTTGTTGTAAATGTATGTACTATGTTTTGTATATAAAATAAGTTTGTACCGGGGTATCTTGTTTATGCTAAGTATTTATTTGGGGATCATTCTCATCAAGCCAATTTTGGCTTTCATGATTCCCCACTTGCTTATATCTTATGTTGATAATGAACGAACATGCATGTACTTTTGATGTTTTTTAAAAGAGAGTGAAATAAAGAAAAGAAATAAATAAATGAAATAAATTATGTCTTTTTGTTTACAGGATGAACAACAGTCTTGACAGCGCCAGGTTAGATGATGAACATAGACTCATAGCAAGGTATGCTGCAAGGCTTGCCAACGCCTCAGCTAATCCGGTAAGTTGATCATAACAAATGGTGGGGGGGGGGGGGGGGGGGAACAAGAATTCAAGGGAAGCAAGTATACATGTATACATGTAACCTGCACAAATGTAACAAACATACATGTAACCGGTACAAATGTAACGAACATACATATAACTGGTACAAATGTAACAAACATACATGTAACCTGTACAAATGTAACGAACATACATGTAACATGTACAAATGTAACAAACATACATGTACAAATGTAACGAACATATATGTAACATGCACAAATGTAACATAAACACATGCAATGTGTATACTTGTCCAGGAAAGTAAGCATCAAGGAGTGCCTTAAAGCCCCACTGCACTACTTATCACTATTTGCGCCCTCTATATAGCAAACAATGCCTAATCGGTGCCTGTTGGTCCCCCATGATCCCCTTTTTCTTATGTTAATTGAGAGCTGATTTGATGAGATAACCACCTGTCAGTGACCTTGCAAGGAGGTCTAATCCCCCTGGCCAAACTAGTGCAGATAGGCTTTAAACTCTGTTATTAAGGATTGGTGTCTATCCTTACCACACTTGTTCAGTTTCAAACTTTGACTTCCCAGTTTTAAAACAATAGCTCTATCCACCCTGCCTCACGATTTAAATATCCCATTCACTGAACACATGTAGGTTGTTATGGTTTAAATGCTAATTTTTTTACATTACCTCCATGTAGATATGAAATAGTATTTTCATGGCACAGTCAAACCTGTCTATAGCCACCACCCAAGGGAAACACAAAAGTGGCCTTTGTAGACAGGTTCCTTAATTACATGTTTCAATGAGAAACCGTTTTCAAGGGAAACAAAAATTGTGGACTTTGTAGACAGGTGGTTACTTAAGCAGGTTTGACTGTATAAACCCTTTACAATACCATCATGCTTATCATTACTTTTTTTGAAAGGCCCTATACAATATCAAAGTACCGAATAGTCCATTTTAGATGCTGCTTGTAAGTGTCGACTTGCATGGTGATGTACATATACAGTAGGCTTGCGGGTGCACCATGTGAGAGAGAGATTATGATATACCTTGTTTATTACAAACATGCTGATAAATATATATATTTTCTGATATACCCTGTAGAACTCTGGTCCTGAACTTCCTCCTGGCTTGGATGCTAACAGAGAACAGAGAGAGCTCATCATGCAGCTAGAATCCAAGAACAGGTTAGTAGTCCCATCTACTCAAATACATGTAGTCCTTTATGATGCCATTAGAGAACAGAGAGAGCTCATCATGCAGCTAGAATCCAAGAACAGGTTAGTAGTCCCATCTGCTCAAATACATGTAGTCCTTTATGATGCCAATAGAGAACAGAGAGAGCTCATCATGCAGCTAGAATCCAAGAACAGGTTAGTAGTCCCATCTACTCAAATACATGTAGTCCTTTATGATGCTCATAGAGAACAGAGAGAGCTCATCATGCAGCTAGAATCCAAGAACAGGTTAGTAGTCCCATCTACTCAAATACATGTAGTCCTTTATGATGCCAATAGAGAACAGAGAGAGCTCATCATGCAGCTAGAATCCAAGAACAGGTTAGTAGTCCCATCTGCTCAAATACATGTAGTCCTTTATGATGCTCATAGAGAACAGAGAGAGCTCATCATGCAGCTAGAATCCAAGAACAGGTTAGTAGTCCCATCTACTCAAATACATGTAGTCCTTTATGATGCCAATAGAGAACAGAGAGAGCTCATCATGCAGCTAGAATCCAAGAACAGGTTAGTAGTCCCATCTAGTCAAATACATGTAGTCCTTTATGATGCTAAGAACAATGTGGTCCCATCTATTCAAATGCATGTAATCAATTCCAATGATAAAATATTGACCTCATATATATAAGCCTTGGGTCTTATCATGTATACTGAATCTTAAACTTGTGTAAGATCTTGGCCCCGTCTTACAAAGAATTGATATCAATTGCAACTTATTTGCAATTGATATCAATTGCAAGTATGTAGGAATTGCAAGTATGTAGGCCTACTTAAGAGATAGGAGATCGCAAAGTTGCGATTGATCGGAGGACTTACGATTGATTTGGATCAATGGTAACTCTTTGTAAGACGGGGCCCTGGTCAAAGACTCAATCTTATTGAAGTTGATATTAGATGGGTTTAAGCACAGTTGTTCAACACACGTACCAATAAGAAATTTGCTTGATCATACATTTAATCATCTCAATATCTGTGATCACAAATTTTCATTTTCTGCAGAGAGATAATGCGAGAAATCCAGCGATTACGACAGGAGCACGATGAAGCTGTGAGGTCGTCGCACTCTCAACGTAACCCAACTCTCCTTGCTGAGCTACGACTCCTGAGACAACGCAAAGATGAACTAGAACTCAGAATGGCAGCTCTACAGGAGAGTAGGAGAGAGCTTATGGTACAGCTAGAAGGACTCATGAAACTACTTAAGGTAAAGATAATGTATGTAATAACATTAGAAACACTCAGAACTATAGAACTCAGAATGGCAGCTCTACAGGAGAGTAGGAGAGAGCTTATGGTACAACTAGAAGGACTTATGAAACTACTTAAGGTGAAGATAATGTATGCAATAACATTAGAAGGACTTATGAAACTACTTAAGGTAAAGATCATGTATGTAATAATATAATCCAATCCAAAAGATATTTGATATAGCGCCTTTTCCTTGCAGTTACAAAGCACTGCACACATGCTCCACAATGTTTGGGCCACTTAAAAACAAAAGTTAGACACTTCTCATATATCAGTCAAGTATATGTAGGCTGGTAATAAAGTAATTTCTAGCAGAATAGATGTGACTTGAGTAGTTTCTTGACAATAACATCAGAAACATTCAACCAATCTTGTAGCCCTGATGTAGGAATGGAAGATGGGAGTGGTAATGTACAGAGAAAGTGCTTGTGTTTTGTTCCTATTTCCATCCCATTTTCCAGCATTGGGAGGGTAACTTTGTAGTTCTTTCTTAACCAAAACACTGTATCGTCCACTTTGATTTAAAAATATTTTTTTAAAGACAACCTCATGTTACAACTAGAACAGACTATCAGACTTCTTCATGATGTTGCCTTCTATATAATAATAATAATAATAATAGGTTCTTGTATAGTGCTCACGTCAGTCAGATTTGACCCTCCTGGAGCTCCTGATTATTACCCTGGCTTTAGCACGGCTGCCATACGGCGCTCTAGCATTTCAGGAATAGATTCCTACCAGGTACCATATGGGTGGAGTGTGGAAAATGTAGATCAAAAGGACATTAGTGTGGCAGCTGGACTGAATTTCTATTATTATTCACGTAAGAATGTAGATGGTTACCTATGTATTTGTATCGTTGCATTGTATCTTAGAACCATGGCTCTCCTAGGAACAGCCCCAACCACAGCCCCAGGCCTAACCAGCCTCTTACCCCAGGCTCTTCCACACAGCCTTCCAGGGCAGCTACCACTACAGACACTGTAAGGAATGGTGAGCAAACTGGAGGAACAACTGGATCAAGGAGTCTACGGAATGATTTACTTGTAGCAGCAGACTCAGTTACTAATGCTATGTCATCACTGGTCAGAGAACTCAATTCAGGTATGACAATCAGGTTTATTTATCATCCTCTCCTTATGAATATCATAATAAAAACAATGTATCATCCGCTGAGAGCTAATAATAATAATAATTATGATACTCAGCTTTTATAAAGCGTGAATTACAATTAAGTCTCTAAGCGCTATTTCTTATGTTATTTGAGAGCTGATTTGATGAGATAACCACCTGTCAGTGACCATGCTGGGTGGTCTAATACCTCCTGGCCAAACTAGTACAGATGGGCTTTAATTAATGATACTACTTCTCTGCATGCAGTAATTGTGAGAATGTATTATTATATGATTGATTCTATTCTTTCCTTTCCTAGAGGATGACCAGAACGATGATGATGATGAAGAGGAAGGAAACCCTTTGAATACAAGCAATGGTAAGTAACCTCCAATGAGCTGCACAATCCGACCTTATCACGGCATGCTTTGTTTACGTTATTGGTTGTGCGTGTGTTTGTAAAACAGGCTCTCATTTATTTAGGAGCCTAGAATTTAAAACAAAGATTCTTTTCTGAATCACCAGACAATTGTCAATTACTGTAATTTGCGAAAGATTAGTTGTTTTCTCTTCAAATATGTATTTTTTTTTATGTAGAGCTATGTTTTCCACTGGAAGTCACAAATTTCAATTTGAGATTTTCTTCTGATTTCATAATTAAGCAAAACTTTTCTTTTGGAATTGATGCACATTGTGGTCAACTATTGATAGCAAAGACAACTCTTCACCTTGTATTGTGGTTCTTTATTTTCCCAGATGGTGCAATCCTTGTAGTAGAGGGGAAGAATGCTTCGGGTGAGCCCATTCTGATCAGAGGGAGAAAACCGAACGGTAGAAACAGAGGGATGTCTGATCAAGATTTTATTGCTGAGCTGACTGCCAGGAAAGAAGGAAGAGCAAGAACTCATCCTGATGGGTAGGAATATAAATGCATGGGGTTGACAGGCGTGATAATTGCCCGATTTAAATTGGTTTCCAAATTAAAAAAAAAAAAAACAGATTTTTTTTCCCAGATTTTTTTTTTTTCTTCCCGTTTTTTTTTTATCCCTGATTTTTTTGTGTGGATACGATTTGATTTTCAGTTGTACTCAATGGATGAACATGTTATGCTGCGCATGTAATTAAGACATTAGAGTACATGTGTTCAGTATGAGGGACTAGGCAAAGTATTCCTTGCACCTGTCTGTTCTTTACTTGCTGTATTGTTCATTGTAATTAGTATTCTAGCTCGTATTTGACCATTAATTAGGGTGTGGACGAAGTTGAGATTACTAAAGTTCCCAAATTCTAAGGTTACTTTTAGAGAAAGAAATGCTTGTCTTTCTTGAAAGGGTTCATGAATAGTAAAGTCAGGTATCATATAGTACACGTGAGAATTGTGCCAAGATAAGATAATGTATGATTGAACATTTGTCTCTCAAAATCTCTTTGTGAAATTTATTTTGTAAACTTAGTGGAACTATAAGGGTTAAACATATAGTTGTTCGCCATATGATATTATCACCTAAACTCATATCCTTTAGGTTGACAAGCAATTTAGCATCGAATGATCTTAAGAATCTGGGAGGATTATAAGGCATCATCAAATTAATGTTGTACTCTGGGGCAGATCCATGTACACAGTAAAAAACAAGCAATACAAATTTAAATACAATACGAGATACAACAGGTAACCAATGTAGTGAAGACAAAACAGGAGTAATGAACTGACTATACACGCTTGTATGTTTGTTGTTCCTGTGTTAGATATGGTCATACTGACTATACACACTTGTATGTTTGTTGTTCCTGTGTTAGATATGGTCATACGGATGAAGGTGAATCCTACGGAAGAACTGATGATGAGAGTTATGTAGCCACCACAGACGATGCCGACTCCTATGTGAGGACAGATGAAGAGCTTAATATGAGAACCGATGATGAGTTCCAACGATCGGTAACAGATGATGAACTCAGGGAATCAACAAGGGTATGTACATATACAGGAAAGCACCAGCAATATAGATATTAGTTTCCATATTGTTTGTTCTTGGTGGAACAACTTAAAATATTATAATCATGCAACGTTTTTTTAACGAAGCAAAACAAAACAATCAAACCATTCTTTTATTGCGTGATTCTACAAAAGTAATGTTTACATGTAACATCAGGCCTTAAATTAATCGACGGCCATCGACGGCCAGGCCGTCGATGCCCCTATGACTGGCCGCGGTGCCCTCCCCAAAAAAGATATATTCACGACCAAAAAGGCCGTGCCCTTTTTTTCAAACTGGCCGACGTGCCTTTTTTTCCAACTGGACGTGCCCTTTTTATTTTAAATTTGCGCACATAAAACCACCAATTGCGCCCATAATCATCTAAAACTAGACGGCAAGGCGCAAGTGTTTTCCGTGAAAATGCGCCCATAAATTATTAGAACAGTAAAAATACACGAATCACGAACAGTTTGCCGCCCACGAGCTCTCTTCTAGCTTCGTATTTAGTGCTTTAATAAGGCGCAAGTGCCGTGAAAATGCGCCCTTTGTTATTATATAGGCAATGCGCTAGCGCACGTACGTACGTTCATATTATGCGATCGCATGATATGCATATGGTGCATGCTGTTGACGCACGTACGTACAAATCGAAGGCCAGGATCAAGAAAACAAATCGTCAAATGGAGAAATAAACAAGCATTCAAATAGTCATTAGAGATCTGTCGAGGTTTGTTTGTAGGCCTAGTTTATTATTTTATCTCAAATAGAATTTAGAATTATCTTATTAATAAGTTAAGAACACCTACGATGTTCTCGATCGTAGTTAGACTACTCTCATTTTGCCACCAGCCGACCTCGCTTCAAAAAGCTACCCCGCCAGCTTCCCAAGACGAACGTTTCGAGTCCCGGTAAAATTCCGAGGGTGCATCGGTTTCGCTGGCAAACTTCCAGTCCGACAGCTTCCCACCAAAAGTGGCGAGAGTGTGTGTGCGAGGAACGATTTTGGTTTCGTGAATGCACGTTACGCAACTGAGCTGAGCGTGTCACTTTCAGCTGTCGAATGTCTATAAGGACATTTTTACATCTTATTTCATTAGTTAGGCCTATGTAGACCTTTCTATACAACAGTTAAAAAGATAATTTCTTCAAATTTGCTCCTACTACCGAGAGAGTGGCGGAAGGTTTGTGTATGAGGTGCGATTTTGATTTGGAATACCCGGCCCAGTAAACTTGCCAATTAAGTCCTTCTGACTTTCGATGTTTGTGAAATTGACAATTTATTTATTCATTTGCTCATCAATATTTTTAGTTACTTTAAAATACTGTTTAATGTGCAAGTTTGATGTTCTTAATCAATCTTTCCTGTTCATATTGTTAAGATTAAAAAGTTATTAAATTGATCGTTCGATCTATTCACATTATGAAATTAACATTTGTAGACTCTCTTTGAACTTATGATTAGATAAGCGGCCTATCTGTTTTTGGAAAATTGCCCCTTGCTCTGGTAAATTCCCGTGGCAAAGGGCAACTTAAAAAAAAAATTGCCCCTCGCTCCTGGCTGCTAAATCTAAGGCTTGCGGGCCGCCGCCTTGTTTGCAGGCGCGTAGCCAGAGTTTGGTGTTTGGGGGGGCACATACATGTAATCGATCGAGGTCAAAAAAAGGGGTCTACAAAATTTCAACCCCCCGTGGCTACGCGCCTGCTTGTTTGTATGTACCGTAGACCTCTATACATTCTGTGAAGAAGCTGGTGCTAAAAGTCATGGGAAATTGATCCTGCACAAGTTTCATAAAATACACATGACATCTAACAAAAATAGAATCAATTTTTTTGGCCTCATACTCGATGCCCTTTTTGTAAAATATTTTGGCCTCGATGCCCTTTTTGTAAAAATATTTTGGCCTTGGTGCCCTTAAAAATATGAGTTACTCGAGGCCAAACTGGCCTTGCCCTAAAAATGACGAAATTTAAGGCCTGCATGTACCTCTGCTAGTACCATACATCTACGTGAAATTGGATGCACAATTCCAGTAAGATTTCCACTTTTAGATCAGGGGGTGTTTCACAAAGACCCTAAGTTGAACTTAGACCCTAAGTTGAACTTATCTCTAAGTTGGACTTAAAAATTATGGAAAGCCATTAGCATCTATGAAAATGTTTTGTACAAATTATTTTAAAAGGCATAAAATGTTGATTCAAATCATTCATATCTTCTATTATCAAGGAGATTTCATGTTCTTGATGTGGAGTTTATAAAAAGTCTAAAACACTTGAATTTTCGCTTTTGAATATATTTTATTTTAAGGCTACAAATGGCTCTCCATAATTTTTAAGTCCAAGTTAGAGTTCAGTTCGACTTAAGATCTTTGTGAAACACCCCCCAGTTGTAGCTTTGTGGAACTGCTACTATTTGTTTCTCTCTTCTCTCCAGCTAGATGTAAGCCAAGGACCCCCTGACCGTAATAGTTTGACCAGGACCACGACAGATGAGGAGGGTAAGAGAGGAACAGATGAGGAGAACAGCCATAAGGACAATGTGCGCCGCTGGATCAACAGATAAATCGAGATTCAAGGTGTGCTTATGTACATGTATGCTCCCTTGCTCTATTAATTTAATACCAAACAAACTCATCAACTTGTGATTAGTGACCAACAGAGGAGAGTGAACCTTGAAACCAGTTGAAACCTGTTGAAACCTGTTGAAGACCTGTGGAACCCGATCAAAAGCCAGCGATGAGTTGGAACCAGTGGATTCCAGTGGCAAAATGTTTATACCAATGGAAATCGGATGAAAGCAGTTTGCAACCAGCTGAAACGAGCAGAAACCAGTTGAAACCAGTTATAAGGAGTATGGTGATGGGATAAGGTCAAAAGTAAACTGCAGAAGTAAGAAGCAGGACATTAAAGTCTTCTTGTCATTCAGCCGATGCAACAAGTAAACCATCATTAGCAACATTTAATAGCTAAAAATCACAAGCTGGTGGAACAATTTGCGTGTCTGTAGTGTAATAAGACATACTTTACCAATCCGATGCACATTTTCATTTTTATATATGAATAATGATGTACATGTACTGTATACTGCTTTTGGCTGATAAAAAGATCTTTAAATTCCATTACCCGGTACTTGGGATATGTATGGACATTCATAGAAGAGGTTAAAAATTGTGTCCTGTAATTTGATTGATAATAGAATTCAACAGAGTATTCATCATGATATCGTTGTAGAGAGACAAAGAGAGAGAGAGAGAGAGAGAGAGAGAGAGAGAGACAGAGAGAAAGAGAGAGAGAGAGAGAGAGAGAGAGAGAGAGAGAGAATGGAAGAGAGATAGAGACCAACAAACTAAAGAATGCGACCATAAAAAAAAATTAACCTGTCTAACTTACCTTCAAGAGATATTTTTCTATCCTTCAATTATTTAAAATCAAGTTTTAATTGTATTCAGCATTAACTCTGCAAGATACTTCTCTGAAAGACATAACTTATAATCATAAGAAACTCTGTAGATACTTGACTAGAAGATCATATTTTGTATTACATGTATTAGAATTACATTATATCTGTATCATTATGTTTATGTAATTGTTCCATTTTTTCTATGTTAGTTTTCAGAGTGTGCTTTTTCTGTGGGTCAAGAGGAAGCTACTCATTGTTTATAGATGTGTGTTTGTATGTAGTATAGTATACATAGATTAGGAAAAATATCATGTCCTTTTCTCCCTGGCATTATCAGCTATTTATATTCTGTACATGTATCATTGTTTACACTTATTTCTGCTCTGCTGTGCTTTCTTACTTTGTATTTCAGTCACTTCCAGGGCCAAAAGGGATGGATGATTTTTTTTTCAACGGAATTGGTACAAACAAATATTTCCTTTACAATTTAAATATTTGAGATATGTGTACAGATGCTTTAGCCTCTTGGACAGAAATTTAGTAAACTGTATTTCTACTTTTCTGGTGCAAGTATCACCAACTTAAGATTAAATTTCTTGTGTTGATAAAGTACTACCAACTAGAGATTAATTGTCCTGTGTTGATAAAGTATCACCAACTTGAGATTAAATGTCCTGTTTTTGGAAAGTATCACAGACTATAGATTAGGTTGTGTCATCTTGATTATGTTAATGTGCCAAATATATAATCAGTCCATGAGACTTTAAGACCAATGTACTACTTAATTTACCGTAGAGCAGGGTATATATAACCAGCTGCTGGCAAGTACTCCTCCACTGCCTCTTTCTATCTACATGTATAGTAGTCAAAAGAAGCATTTACATCATAATCTAAGTTGGCTTGAAAGTGGGGGAAAAATGCACAAGAATTGAGAGACAATTATGAGTTTTAGAAATCCTTTCCGGCACTTTCCATCCACATGATCGCAGCTGCCATTGAAAGCATTATTTATTTCATCCCTCGTACTAACTTATTGTATCAAAATAAATTTTTAGCTTATATTCATGGATGTACATGCACATGTATGTAGTGTTTGTACAGTTAGGTCAAGAATGTACCCGTAATCATTGTTTGTTTTTTTAATTAGGTTTTTAAGTATTAAAAGCAGATTGTTTGTAATGTGAGTGAAGTTAGTCTGCAATGTTTATCATGTATTGTGTAGCTAATGAGGATCCTTATATACCCAAAATGTTGTTTGACCCATTATTAAAACCAGAAAACTCCTGCAACCTAGAACATTTATGGATTGTGTAAGACGATTATTAACTGCAGCAAGAAACATTTGAGAATTGCAAAAGTTCACTGTTGTATAAAGACAAAGGATTCATGAATACAAAAAGAAAATCTGTCTTTCCAGTGGACCAATAGAAAGAATCTTTATTGAAAAACACAAATATGTTTACACACATACAGGAATGGGAATTACTCTTGGCTTACCGGTATATAAGTAGAAAAATTAAAACCAGTGGACTTATTTTTAAATAAATTATATATATATATATAATAATAATAATAATAGGCATTTCTATAGCGCTGTCTATCTAGATATTCTATTCCGAGTCGCATTTATTATTACTCCAGCTTTAGCCTAGCTGCCATTACAGCGCTCCATCATTTCAAAGAATTCCTGCCAGGTACCCATTTACATCACCTGGGTTGAGTGTGGCAAATGTAGATCAATGTCTTGCCAAAGGACATTAGTGCCGTGGCGGGACTCGAACCGCTGACCTTGTGATCCACAGTCCGGGGACGTATCCACTCGACCACGACACCTCTATCTATCAATCCTTCCCTTGTGACAATACAACCATGGGCTGTCTTGTTTGTTTGTTATGGGTCTTTTTTTCTTGGAATAAAAATAAATGATTAAATTAGAAGGGATTTTTTGGAAAGTACTTTGCTCCTTTGAAGCAGACCTAACTAATTGACTTCTTGTTCAATTGCATCCGTTTTCAATGTTTTTATGAGACTGATGCATGTGTCAAGCATTGTTTTAGAAATGTAATTATTTGTTGTTGCAGAAATTATCAGTATTTTAAAGGAGGAACCGTTCATTACATGTTTTTAACAACTTGTGTTTGTTTGTCTACATGTATAACTACAGAGCAAGTGATTTTTGATATTTTTCATGAGCATAGTACTACATAATTATATGTACATCTCTTTATGGTATGTTTGTATTTACATTGGTTTGAAGAAATTGGCTGCCATATTACTTTTCCTTTTTTGTGGTGTGGAATTTGACAGTGAGTAATCATTTTGAAGTCTTTTCTTTTATCATAAATTACATGAATCTGCTTCATGTTCTGTTTAAATACGGTTGTACAGTATGCATTTTGAATTGTACAGGGTCCTGTTTATTTTTAAAAACGACAACTACTTAAATGCACTTTAAGAAGTCTTAAGATTGGCAGAGGCTGCAAGAACCACAAGCAAATTCAGTTAATTTTAACAGCCAGTATTTCAGTATGTTTTCATCTGTAATTAAGTGAGAGTTATTTTAGTACCGGTAGTCATTTGTATTGGTGTATCTTGCTACTTAAATTCATTTGAGGGGTTTACTATAAAGGTGGACAATTATGTGAATAAAGTTAGGTTTAACGTCAAGTAAATCACCACATATGAGGGGGAAAATTAACATTACACTGTCTTTAGTCGGTTGATGTAAATCCCATAGCAACAGTCAGGAATTGATGTATCATGTCGGAGAGAATTGTACAGCTTAAACATGTACAGTGTATGATGTAAATTATTTGTACAGATACATTCTAGCTGTGTCTTTGTGATACAGAGAGTGGATGAAGTATTATTATAGTGAGAAGACAATGATTGCATGTTCCATATGTGCCCTTGAACATATCTGTAATGAGATAGATTTAATGTTGTTGTGATTTTATAAAGCTTATCTGTACTAGCTTACAGGAGGGATTAGACCACCCTGCATGGTCACTGACAGGTGGTTATCTCATCAACTCAGCTCTCAGTTAACATAAGAAAAAGAGGATCATGGGGGACCAATGGTCACTGATTAGGCATTGTGTGTTATAGAGGGCGCAAGTAGCTACAAGTAGTGCAGTGGGCCTTTCATATTAGCTTTTGTTACCCAATTGTAAAAATTGCTAGCTATGTGTATTTTCTAGTGTGAAGGATCCTTTAGATCCTTATCAGCAGGTGATCAAAGTAAATGTATTTGAATAAGCTTATTTATTTACAAGTAACGATGAGTTTTACCTTGCTCATACATGAAGCCCAAATTGTTTGATTTTTTTGCTTTTGCGTGTGGATTGTAATATTTGAAACTGAACCCATACAAATCTGGCTACTTGTATTACGCATTATTTTATTCTCTACTGAAAGTATTAGGCTTGTCATTCTTAAAAACCATGACGACAGAAATGACAAAGAATGAGAATACACATGTATTACCCATCTCCTTACAAATTAGCCCCGTGAATGAGAATCATGAATTCAAACTCCTGGACAACAGTAGGAGATTATAATAATAATAATAATAATAATAATGATAATAATAATAGGCATTTCTATAGTGCCGTCTATCTAGAAAGTGTATTCCGAGGCGCATTTATTATTACCAGGGCTTGAGCCTAGCTGCCATTACAGCGCTCCAGCATTTCAAGGAGCAACATAAAGAGAATCAATCATAGTATTATTTGAATATTAAAAGTGATGATTATAAATGTTTGGAGGTTCAAAGGGATACTTGGGAATGGTAGTGGGGGAATGGCTCCCAGTCAGTATAGCTATTATTGCTATTTCCTTTTTGTGTAATTACCTGCGATTGTCAATGATACTTCATAGAATAGATTTGTATAGCTGTCTCTTTTATAATTTTTTAAAATTTGCTGCTGTTGGCCTTTCTAATGTATCTTGGTGTATGGGGTTGACAAAAGGCAAGTGGAAAAAAACAATGAAGTATTTTTTTTGTCTGCTATCTTGAATTTCATCAGCACAGGAGGCAATGTTTAGTAGTAATTGTGAAGGATCATTGTTTGTAGAGAATTCAATGGATTGTTTTGTAAATGATGTACAGTGATCCATGTCAGGAAAGTCTGTCATTTGATGTAGAATTTAAATATTGTATATTGAATATAACAAATTGAGAAGATAAAAAAAAATGACACAGCTATCCAAATAGATATACATTGAAAACACAACACTTTCCCTTTGTCTTATTTAGTGTCACTTTAAGTAAAGTTGGTCATACTCAGAGTTCTTCCCTCTTATCCACCCCCCCCCCCTCTCTAACTCACTCTCTCTCTCTCTCTCTCTCTCTCTCTCTAGATCTCTATCACCCTCTCTCTCTCTCTCTCTCTCTCTATATATATATATATATATATATATTTCTCTCTCTCTTTAGATTTCTCTCTATCTCTCTCTCTCTCTCTCTCTCTCTCTCTCTCTCTCTCGATCTATATATATATATATATATCCCTGTCCATTTTACACACATATCTGTGCTTCTCTTCTCCTCTTCTCCAGCCTCATCTTTTAATCTTAATTTTCGCTCTCCCTGTCTTTCTCAAAAATGTTCATGCTCCCTCTCCACCATCTTTAATGTGTATCTTCTTTTTAACCATCTTATCAATGTGTATCTGAGAAGAAAATGGAGAAAGCATGTTGTTACCTGCACAAGTTAGAGATCATGGGGGAGGGGTCTTCATTTATGATCTTGAAATCTGATTCTGACAGAAACCTGGAAACATCTATTCAGCGCCAGAAGGGCGTTACGTATATGAGTTAACACCCTTCTGGCTCCAAACAGACACATGCAATTACAGAAGCTCTTTAGCAATTTTTCAAATATACTTGACACTTTATTTTTAAATTCTTGATCAAATACATGTACAATATAGGATGTAACCAAGGAAAGAAGAAGAAGAAAAAAAAATCAATATTTTACTGAGGATATTCCTGGATTATGCTAAAAATAAACACGAGGTTCCCTCATAATCAGAGAATTTTTTCTTCATAAATTATGCCTGGCTTCATAGCTATCTACACATTGTCTGTTGCGAGTTATTCTCTAGGTATTGTGGTTCTAATTAAATCTTTTCACATGAACCTCAGTCTGAGTTGGTCATTCATCACATGACCCCTGCTCATGTTAAAGCCCCACTGTCCTACATGTAGCTACTTGCTCCCTCTATATAGAAAACTTGAATATTGCGCATCTTTTTCAAAAATCGGACCTACCGTTACTAAGTCACATGACCTTTTGTCTTTGCATGTCAGCCCGAAAATCATTCATTTTTCTGACTTGTGTACAAAACAAAAAGGAAAATATAATTTTTCCAAAAAAGAGATAAAACATTGGTTATTTAGTCTTGTTTATAGTTAAGTTGTTTATTTTCAGGGTCAAAATAGTTAAAATATAGTTAAAAATGAAATAAAACAACAAAAAATAAAATACACAAGTTAAAAAAACAATGAAATACATAGGAAATTATCAAGACAATTGATACCATGATAACCTTGCTCTTCCCAATTGTTTTGCTGTATTATTATCCTAAATGGTCTACATGTAGTGAAAACTAATCTTTAAATATGAAGAATATATGATTTATGGGTAAATTTGAATTTGTTTACCTTAACCCTATTTAGCCCGGGGGGGGGGCTTGAGAAGCCCCCCCCTCGACATTTTTCGCGATAATTTTTTAACGCAAGAAAATCTTGCACTGAAATTTTGTGACTTTTTTCATTCGAGTCTTGCGCATCTTTTGAAAGAAATTTTTCGAAAATCGGACCTACCATTACGAAGTCACGTGTCCTTTTGTCTTTGCATGTCAGCCCGAAAATCGCTCATTTTTGTGATTTGTGTACAAAACATATGTAAATCTCATTTTTCAAATAAAGAGATAAAACATTGGTTATTTGGTCTTGTTTATAGTTTAGGTGTTTATTTTTGGGTCAAAATAGTTGAATTATAGTTGGAAATGAAATAAAACAACAAAAACAATAAAATACATAACTTAAAAAAAACAAAGAAATACATAAGAAATTATCAAAACAATAGATAACATAAGGAATAACCCTGGTTTTTCAATTTTTTGTGTTGTATTATTATTCCAAATGGTCTAACAAATATATGTAGTGAGAAAGAATGCTTAAATATGAATAATGTCTGATTTATGGGCAAAAATGTGAATTTTATGACCTTATTTGCATAAATTACCATAAATATGCAAATGAGTGAATTTTTCAAAAAATTGAAATTACCATAGTATTCTATACACTTCACTTGACATGTATGCAAATTTTCGCGGCGATCGGGCGTTTCACGGCCGAGATCATAGGGGGGGGGCCTGAGAAGCCCCCCCTGGGCTATGCAGTTTCAAAATAGCCCGGGCTAAATAGGGTTAATGCATAAATTACCATAAATATGCAAATGAGTGAATTTTTCAAAAAAATTAAAATGACCTAAGTTTTCTATACACTTCATTTGACATACATGCACATTTTTGCGACGATCGGATGATTCACGGCCGAGATCACAGGGGGGGGGGGGGGGGGGGGGGGGGGCCTTAGAAGCCAGTTCATACACAAAATAATTTACTTTTTCTCTACTTATACAACTTGCAAATGGGTCAGATTTGCAGAGTTTAGTTCTGGTCGTGGGGTTTCAAAGTGATAAAAACTGGAAACAGGAAAATGTTGATTAAATAACAATTTACTGTGAAATTTTGGATCATCAAAAGTCTTGCTGAAATTTAGCTGCACTGTACATACACAGACATGTGTATACGAAAACATGTGACAGGAACATTGGATGCAAACATAATGAAACAATGCAGTTATATCTGCTGGTCATATGTCAAATATAAAAGCTAAAGAGTAATGCTTTTCACAGACTACCAAGATAGGAGAACTTTAAAAGTACCAATCCACAAAACACATTTTGTTCTTGATGTAAGGGCTACATGTACATGTCGCTATACCGTTTTCAGAATATCAGCTTTGAATATTACTTCTACCAAGGGATATTGCAGTTTACATACACTATCAGCAAACATAAAACGACTTGTTGCGTAGTCTAGGCAACGCACATGTACCTGGTGGCATAGAATAGGGTGCCCAAGGAAACCAAGTGCATCTTTGTTAGATTCCATGCACGCTCTATTCTATGGGGTTTATATCATAGATATATTGACTATGAGAGGCATCGCTATTTCTATAGGCTCAAGGGGATGTAACATCCTGCTATCACAACTCCAATTTTGACCAACCAGATGACTAGATTTATTCAACATACTAAAGAGAGGTTTATATTATCCTTTATATTCTTCACACCCATTGACCATAGAAATAACAGTTGATCGAGGTTGATTTCATACATTCTACAGGTAGCAATAAACACATTATTTTATCAGGTGATTGTTATAGTTTGACCTTTGACCCATTGAGGGGAACCATAGCATCTTAAATTTAGTGAATAATAGCAGTCAGTCAATGTTCATATGATAGCAAAATATTATTTACAACAATACATTCATCTTAATATATCATAATTCTTCACTGACAAGTTATATTTTGTTCTGTCCAAAGAATAACAAAGCGGAACAGATATATTACATGATTATACATGCATGTATTATGGCTAAGCAAATATCAGATGAAGGGAAACAATTGAGATTTAAAATCTGCCTCCAGAAATATCTTTCTGTGTTGAAAGGGCATAACATCAAATCTATTAGGTGGCATGCATATTTCTTAAGAACCGTCAGTCACAAAACCAAACCACATGGCTAATAACTTCTCTAATGGAAAGACTCAACAGATCTTGTAATCCTTCAACCTTGATCCCTGAAGCAGCTTTTCCAAGCTAAACTGTGATTTCCACAATCAAAATTCACTCTGACTCTGACTGCATTACTGTAAAGATGTGGATTCTCTATCTTCATCAGTGATTACTACATATCTTGTGTGGATTCTCCATCTTCACATGGATCCAAGCATTCCATTCATGTCGTTAATGGAGCAGGTTGTATTAAAGGCACAATACCTGATTGAAGCTGAAGCAAACTATCTTTGTTACATGAATAGAAAGAAATTCACGGGTGACATTCTACCTTCAAGGCCGTCTGTACTAGTTTGGCTTGGAGGGATTAGATCACCCAGCTAGGTCACTGACAGGTGGCTATTTCATCAACTCAGCTCTCAATTAACATAAGAGAAAGAGGATCATGGGGGACCAATAGTCACCGATTAGGCATTGTTTTCTATATAGAGGTAGGACAGTGGGGCTTTAAAACCAGTGGGTCATCAGCTTCCATGTGTAGAAGGTGATAATTTGCTGACACTAGACTTGGCCATAGGCCAATCAACAAACTCCCTCTCGTCTCTCGGAGAGTCTTTGGGTGATGAAAAGGTCAGATAATGACTCTACCGTAAGGGGGAAAGAGAGCATTACCTGTTGGTCATAAAACTGAAGGCTAATGCTGGTTATTGAGTGAACACCCAAACAGTGTCGAATTCTCCACGAGAGCCCACTTCTATCCATCTTTAAATCTAAGCCAAGTTCATTGTAGATTACAATCGAGGTTCAATATGACATCTGGCGAAGGTTTACAGTTCTAATAAGAGTTGGTGCTATAAGATCTTGACTCCTTGCAGGTTCTGTTTGAGATTGTGCATCACTTTATTCTGACGTTTCTCCTCATCTTTGAACACCTGCTGGTTGGCCTTCTTTTCTAATCTCCTCTCCTGAAAGATAGACAGAAGAACAACATAAGATAGACAGAAGAATAATATACAAATAATGAATGGTTATGCAGAGCTGCCAACCATTCCGTTTTTACCGGAATTACTTCGTTTTTTCCTCCCAATTACGGTATTACGTTTTTTCTTCATAAAATACGTTTTTTTAATTTTTTTTTTTTTTACATACTGCACGTCAATCAACTGCCCTAAAATGGTGATTTGATCACAAATTCAATAGAAAACTAATTTTAAAACATACTTGAAGAGAAAAATCCTCTCAACAAAAAATGAAATACCGATAATACCAAAATAACCACCAAAAAAATTACCTGCTTGTATGGAAAAAAACAGCATGATGAATGAACATTTCTGCATTGGAAGTGTGTTGTGCGTGGTTGTAAGTTTCGTTTTTATGAATTCCTTTTTTTTGCTTGAAATTCCTTTTTTTTGCCATCATGATTCCATTTTCGGGTCGCACAAGGTTGGCAGCTCTGGTTATGAGTTCAATAGTGCAAATATTTTCATGAGTTGAAAGATTAACATTTTATTCAACGAGGCATGAGCCGAGTTAAATAGAATTAACGTTAATCTTTCAACTCATGAAAATATTTGCACTATTGAACGAATGAAAAACATTCATTATTTGTTTTATACAACATCAAAGAAGATCCAATACTGTAGAACGTTAATCAACAAATTATGCTTTACTCCTTATATTAAAGATAAATTAAAGAGATAGAGAGAGAGAGCAAGAGGGAGATAGATAGATAGAGAGAGAGAGAGCAAGAGGGAGATGGATAGAGAGAGAGAGAGAGAGAGAGAGAGAGCAAGAGGGAGAGAGATAGAGAGAGAGATGGAGAGAGAGATAGAGAGAGAGAGATGAAGATGAAGATGAAGAACCCACCTTTCTAGCTAGCTTGACAGCTTGTTTCCTTTCTTTCCTTTCCTCTGCTGATTCCTTCTCTCCTTTCACTCTACTCATCCTCTCAATAGCAAGACGGTTATCATCCAATTCCTCCCTCTCTAGCTGCTTCTTGGTCGGGCCATGCGAGGGGAACACATTAAGTGGCATGCCTGATTTCTGAGATAGTTTGATCTGACCATTTTCATCGGAGTTGGTTGTCTGGTTCTAACAAAGTAAAGAAGAAAAAAAATCATATTAGCATCATCATTCCTTTGCAACACTGTAACATTTCTTCCCAGTTTTCATACTTCTCTTCCTCTTTAGTCTACTGTAGTATTTTATTTATTAGATTTACTAATACCAAAAGAAAACATACATTAACTATTTAGCTACTTTGGATTGTAATTCTAGTTTACCACAGTGTTTTGAAGTACATATATCACTGTACATACACATTGTACTTATGACAACATTCAATTGTGGTTGTCCACTATTTGTTCCATTATTAAACTACAGCACAGCACATAATGGGGGGTTACATGGGAACAAAGATATATAAGATTCATACATTTAGAAGCAGAAAGGGAAGAAGAAAAAAAAAGGAAATAAAAGTGTGCAGTAATCAAAATACATTGTACGTACATTGATAAAGGTGAATGAGAACTGACCTGTTGTTTTTTCTTCTTTTGTTTGAATGGTTCTTTGATAGTAGTAGGATGGTTATAGAGGGTTGAGTATGTACTTAGTATGGATTCACAATCCCATTGCTCTTTCCTCTCATCAATATACATCTTCATTCTCTCTTCCTCCTCCTCCTCCTCCTCCTCTTCCTCCTCAATATATTCCTGCTGATGCTCTCTCTTGGCTGTCTCTATCTCGTTCATCGTTCTGTCAGATGATAACATGCTATAGTATTAATACATTTCAAAGGGAAAATGAAAGGACTTACGATAATAATAATAATAATATTCAGCTTTTATATAGCGCTTAATACATCTAGGACGTCTCTAAGCCCTTTACAGATAATTCTGTCAGATGATAACATGCTATAGACTTATCTCAACTTGTCTGAGAGATGTTTATATGTTATCGATCTTTCAAATGTTTACAATTGATCATAAAGCATAAGTTTTATTAAGTATCCGATCGAGTTTACTTCAATTGGTCAATTTATTTGAATACAACTGAGGTTAACTCTATATACCAACACATTTTTCATAAATAAAAGGCATTGTTATTATCATCATTAGAATATAATATTGGTTCTTAATGTTGCTGTTGAAAATTACGGGCAATTTAATTGAAGTATAATAACAAAATTAACAAAATATATGATCTTAATCATAACTCCACATCAAGTAGTGCACAATCATTGTTGTTTCTATCGTCTGTAGCACTAGAATAGACTCCCTGTCATCCCTAGCATATGAATAAGACAAGAACTTTAGCCTATACCTGACTTTAGATGCTTTTTCAAAAGCTTCGATAGCTTGTTGTAGAACCAGACTTTCTTCTTGTTGGCGACCTTCAATCTCATCCTGATCTAACGCGCCTATCTCCATATCATCATACTCCTCAAAGATCTAATAAACAAGCAGACAAAATTATTAATTACAAATAAAATGCATCATGTTTATATTCATACTGATGTGCTCCTTTTTTTTTAATAAATATAAATTTGGCTTAGTGAGTTTATAGACGGGAGGTCTTCAGTTACAACCTGCAGCTGCCATTTGGACAAACTCTGTTTCTGAAGGGAAATTTATCAAAATCAAATCTTATTCTGAACAAAACTGACCACTCTCTGATTTCTGATAGGTTATGCTGAATATTGATGTCCTATTAGTTCTTTCTGCATGTGAGCTGGGACAAGATGTAATATAGAATTCTCCCCATACTGAGTGTCCTTTGTGAAATAGTTAGTGTCCATGTGTATTCAATTAAGATCCAGGATTTTTTACTTAAAAAATAGTGGCAAAAGAATCATTTGAGTGTTGCAAATTTGAATAAAAACAGATTCCTATAAATTGATCTACCTTCTCAAATCTGTCATCAAGGAGAGTCAATCCTTCGTTTCTTTTGATCACAGATGATGTCATTGAATAGCTGGTGAATCTGGATTTAGTTTCTTCTGATGCAAAAGACTTCTGATCATCGTCAAGATCATCGCTGTCATAGTCCTCTCCGCTCTCCTCATCGTCTTCCTCATCGTCATCCTCAAAGTCATCATCTTGCGATCTGATAATAATAATAATAATAACAACATTTATAATGCGCACAAATCCACCCCAAGAGATGCTCAAGGCGCCTAACAAGGTAAGTACATTGAACGAAAATAATTTAACATAATTAAATATAATTCAACAACGTTATAACATCAGATTGTGAAATACACTACGTCTTAACTAAGGAATTCAGACATTAGATAGGTTTTCAGTTGTTTTTGGAACACATTTTGATTGGCTGACATTTTGATTGAATGGGGTAGGGAGTTCCATAACCGGGGTGCAGCAGCTGTAAAAGCTCTGTCTCCCCAACTCCTCTTTGTTCTTAATTGTGTTAAATTTGTTGAATTAGAGGAACGAAGACCTGCACGAGAACTTAAAGAGATATTAAGAAGAGAGGAAATATATTCAGGGACTGATCCATTTAGTGAACGGTAGGTGAGTAGTAGAATTTTATATTTGATACGCTGTTCTATTGGAAGCCAGTGAAGGTTCTTGAGTATTTGAGTAGTATGGGTTGAACGTTTAGATTTAGTGACAAGGCGGGCAGCTGCGTTTTGAACCTTTTGTAGTCTGTGAATTTGGTATTTAGGAAGTCCATAAAGGAGAGAGTTACAGTTATCAAGATGAGATGTTACAAAAGCATGAATCAATTGTTGAGTTGTTTGGGGGGTTAAAAATTTCCTTACAGCGCGAAGATTACGAAGATGAGAATTGGCAGCTTTCACACATTTTGAAATATGTGCGTCAAGATGATGATTAAGGGAGGCGAGTTGGCTCAGTCGGTAAAGCGTCCGTCTGTCGAACCAAAGATCCCGGGTTCGACTCCCACCCAAGCGGATGACTGAAACCTGCGTTGTGTGTTAACGTGCCCCTTCCCTTGTTCATAGACGCAGGTTATGTCAAGTGGAAAACACTTCGTCCCTCGGATAGGACGTTAAATGGAGGCCCCGTGTAGAGAAGAGTCACTACCTTTGCACGTTAAGAACCCACTGCACTATTCGTATAAGAGTAGGGGGAAACCCGGTGTAGTGGTCCACCTGCACACCCCCAGTATAGTACGATAATACTCTGTAAAGAGGTCTGTACTCAAAAGGAAGAAGAGACATGCTTGTATCGAAAATGACACCAAGATTTCTTGCCTTATCTGAAGGAGCAATGTGCACAGAACCAACACGTATATGAGTTATAACAATCTTGGAAAGTTGTTGTCTGGAGCCTAACATGAGAAATTCTGTTTTATCGTCATTTAGTTTGAGATAGCAATCATTCATCCATTTTCGTACATCATGAATACAACTTTCAAGATCTTCAACACGTTTTCTACCTGTTCCTGAATAGGAAGACACGAAAAATGTAATTGTAGATCGTCTGCATACATATGATAGCTTAGGGGAGCCTTCCAAAGTTGCGACTGTGCCCGAACGCGTCGGGGCGCAGAGCAGGATATGAGAACAAAGGAGGCGCCTTTTTGCGCCCATTTGCGCCTTTTTGCGTCGGCTACGAGAGGACTCCAGTTGGTTTCCAGCTCATTAAAATCTTGCTATTGTTTGGAGTCTCTTTGTTACGAGATAAGCCCACCGAGGCGTGTCCCGGCGAAGCACTTGACATTTGTGAATGGGAGCTTAAACTTTGAAAAGCTTTTGCGCCCTTTCGCGCCCGGTCCGGCGCATTAGTTATTCATATATAGTGCCCGCTTGTGTGTCCCTCTCGTCTTGCGAGATTTGACTCTGGCTACTGATTTGTTCTAATATTATTTTACGTACATGACATTGGTTACAATTTTTGTTCTGATTGTTTATTTCCCTCTCGACATCGGAGTTCTGTAGGCGTTAACGTTTGCATGATTGTTCATTATTTCATCTCCTCCTGTTCTGTTCATGATTGTGTTAAATATCTCAATTTTAATACAAATAGATTTGGTCACGAAAAAGAATTTTTTTTTTATACTTACCATACTCTCTCTGACATTGTTTTTCTCATGCATGTTTTGACATTTGATTTGTTTCATATTACATTAAATGTGTGTATATTTCCTCTTTATAGCGATGTTATCGCATGTTTCGGTTTTCTTGTTTTGTTTTCTTTAATTTTTGTTGTATCTTGTAAACGATCCTGTCGTATGATCATTATAAATCATAATTCATAATTATATCATCAACCTGTTATTTTAATACAGGTCCTTTAAATCTTCGTAATATTAGAGAACGTATTTCAAAATCCGTGATGTTGAAAATGATCGGGGATATCGCAAAACTCTCAGGGAGATTACCAATTGCAAATCAACAAAGTAAATTATACCTAAATCGTAAGAATAGAGCATGCATTACAAAGGAAGAATTAGTTTATCATTCTGCTCCAAAGAAACTTTATCGAATATTTCTTTGCGAAGAAGGGGGGGGGGGGGGTTGAGGGGTTTTAGATCTAGGTCATTGTTGTGAAGAATTAAAATACGTATGTATTGTGCTGAATTGGGGCCACGGGGTATCGAAAAAGCGAAATGCGTTCTAGAACAAATACAGGCCATGGCAATTCGTTGAATTGCTTCTCGTAACATTGTTACAGAACTGTCTCGCTGTTTAAATAAGGATCCATGTGTTGGTATCAAGTAGAAGACGGAATTTATAATGATTGCGTTATTTTGGGCCATTTTTGTTTTGTTTCGTTTCGTTGGGGGGGGGGGGGCTAGCCCTTATTCTTCTTGATCTACTGGGTCATCAAGAAACACAAATAGTGTTGAAATTTTTCGCAATCCCTTTAGCGCCGAGAGTAGAAAAGCCTATACAAACTCAGCAGGACAATAGCATTAATGTAATGTTGGTCGAACAATCAGGGAGAAATACTGAAATATTGAAAAGCGTTCTGTCATCAGATCAAAATAGGTCATAATATCATCAATCTGTTCTTTCACATGCAAGATCGATTTAAAAAATAGAAACGTAGGTTCTCTAAATCATCGCAATATCAGCTATTGTATTTCAAAACCCGTGATTTAAAAATGATACTTATAATCAAAGACATTGTAAGATTCTTCTTGAAATAAGATTATAGGGCGTTTATAAATATGTCATACGAAACAAACAAACATCTGCAAATTAAAGATATTACAAAAATGATACCCGTATTGTCGGGAGCCTGCATCATCAAAACGTTTCGGTATAGATGGAAGACGCTCTTTTTCGAAATGCACTCACCAAAATTCTACTCGAATCATAAGGAACACTGTCTCCCTGCATAATTAATTTTACGAAAAAATGAATATCTGTATCATCGGGGAAATCGATATACTCTACCAGATTATCATTTGCAAATCAAGATTGTAAATTATGCTTGAATCGTATGGGACCTTGAATGAACAGAGCATACCGATTTAAGAAGGAAAAAAAGAGTGCATGCATCATGTTCGTTCTTTTCACCTCGAACAATTCGAAATCATGAAAACGTGAAATTTGATCGAATATTTCTTCTGTATTGATAGTGGCAATTGTCGTAACAATTTGTTGTCATCAATTGCTCGTGAGGTTTTGACGTTTCATTTTTGTTAGCTAGCGCTAGTAAAGTCTTCTTTTTGTTAACGTGCACTGTATATAGTTATAAGGCCTGCAACACGTCATGTTCACATTGGGTGTTATATCGCATACGGATATTAGATTACATGTAACTTTTACAATCACTTTGTTATTGCAAAACAATGACAAAAGACAGCTCTTTGAGCAGCTAATAGTTGCTAATGCGTTCGAAGAGGGCTGCGCTCAGATTTGTGAATATATCGTTGCGTTTAGATCCATTTATTTGTCTATTAAACATATAGGCCCGAATTCACAAAGCAAGGTTTAGCTCAGACCAAGGTTTAAGTTTAAACCTCCTTTTGTTTCGCCAAACCTCCTTTTGTTATTTATAGGTTTATAAATAACAAAAGGAGGTTTGGCGAAACAAAAGGAGGTTTAAACTTAAACCTTGGTCTGAGCTAAACCTTGCTTTGTGAATTCGGGCCAACGTGTTGAACTTGTTCTATTCTTATCGATGTTAGTTATTCTATAGCTTTACATAATTATGAGAGGTTTTTCATTATTATTAATGACATCCTATATAATGAAGTATTTATTATTAAACACGTATTCGGACTCCTTTTTGCGCAATTTGTCAAGAATTCTGAAAACTTATACATTTGCACGTTAAAAAAAGTAGACGCGTCAACATCGCTGTTGTAATTTAATGGGCACGTCACTCACGAGCATTGGGCACTACGGCACGATAACAACTGAGGGCCCTTTATCACTTATCACTCCTAATCGTTGTTAGGAATCGTACAATGATATGTTTCTTTTGTAATCTCTTGTTTGTCATGACCGGCGGCGTGAAATTGGAATTGTGCTTCAGTGTGTTTTATTTCCGCATCGCGTTGTTGTTGAAAGGGTGTGGCTAATAAGGAGTTAATCGCCGTAGTCTTGGTAGTCTTTTATTTGTATCAAAATAAATGATATTGAAAATAAAGTAATTCATTACATGTTATGAAACAATAAAGAAAGAAGTGCAAACAACGTGATAATTCAATTTATTTGTCTTCGTCTCCATCTGTGTTATCGTTCAACATATCGTGTCAATACAACTTTGATAATCCTCGTTTCAAGATTAGTTCTGTAGATGGCATGTACATGTAAACCGGTACATCAAATGATGATGATGATGCTTACAATATTGTAATAAAATAGTAATGATAATAAACATTATTTTCTTCATCTTGCACTCGCTTTTCTTCATTGCCAGAAAACTTGTTTTTATGTTGCCTTGCATTTTTTTCTTCAACAATGGTAGCAACCTTGCCCAGGAAAAGTCTCATATTCGTGGCTATACCGCCGGAGTTGCTCAAGACAAGAGTGATATTCCGTGGGGAGAGAGAGGAAGAGTATAGGGGTCGTTTTTCAGAACATAACATTTGAACATTTCATATGTCCGCTCAAACCAAGACCGGCTTTAGGTTGATCAAGATATTTTACTCAAACCTGCTCTAAAATGGTTACATGCCCTCGTAAAGGTATATAAGTTAGAGTGGTTGTTTGTATTATCATGTAGATTGACCTATTGACCTACGTTTAGGCTTACACCCTCTTCTTTCAAAACGGTAAACTTCCAGTGAGAGTACGTATAGTTACTTCTTTACAATCTGTTGTTCCTCTTAGGGTGGGGGGTAAGCCTTTCATAAAAGAGGTCCATCCATGAATGATTCGCTAATTGGTCAAGTTTATAAAATGAACAGCGTATTTTCATGTAAATACCCTACATCGATAAGGCTTAGATTATTATGATGACAAAAATGCCACACCGGTAGGGTAGATAAATATAAATAAGTAATCAGGGTCGGAATCGAACTAATAAGACGACCCGTAATACAGTTTGTCCGAATGGACCAAACCGGCTGGATGGTAAATTGTGCTTAAACCTTTTCCAATACTGCACTTTCGCTTTAAAATCCATGAATCCCATAAGAATATGAAATATAAAATCAACTCGCCGGCTTCATTCAATTTGCGCGTTTTATTATGGAATGTTAGTTTGATTAAAGGAGAGACAAAATAGCATAATAATAAATAAATACAGTACAAACTATATACCGATGCGCCCAACTTTCTCTCTCTCTCTCTCTTTCTCTCTGTCTGTCTGTCTGTATTTCCCTCCCTGTCTCTCTTTCTTATTTCGTTCTTCTTCTTTCTCCGCATTTTTTCTTTTTTCTTCTCACTCTTATTCCCCCTTCTTCTTGTTCTTCTTGTTCTTCTTGTTCTGCTTCTTCTTCTTCTTCTTCTCCCTCTTCTTCTTCTTCATCTCCTTTTATTTAGAAATACATATTTTAAAATACACAATTTATAAAAAGTAAAAGATTTGTATGTAAATCTCTGTTGCATCAAATTAATATGAAATAGTTTATCAACCTACATTGACGGTTATAATATATGTCGGACATTATACTTTAGCGAAAAGATATAAACGTGATAAAATGAAACTAAAGAAGAATCCAGAACGGGGGCGGGGGCCGGGGGGGGGGGGGGTGAAAGGAGAGACACAATAGCATAATAATAAATAAATACAGTACATACTATACGATGCACTCAACTTTCTCTCTCTCTCTATATATATAATATTATATACATCTCTCTGTCTATCTGTCTGTCTTTCTCTCTCTGTCTCTCTCTCTCTCTCGCTCTCTAAACAGATGATATAGGGAAAACGAAATAGTTTGTAAGTATTGCTTGGAGAGCAAAATAATTAGTCTGTTTTATTTACTAATGTAAAGCGCTTTGAGCATGTTTATGTCAAGGTGCTATATAAATATCAATGTGTATGAATATATTGTCAAATTTTGACAATTATAGTTTGTAAATATAAGTATTGACAAAGTACATAATAACGACACAGAAATGCTGGGAGTATTTGGGACCTACATAGAATATGCGAAACTGAGCTATGTCTTTGTCTTTGGCCCATGATCCCGCAGCTATTCAAGTTACGTAAGAGGAACAATGAACGTTGCGGAGGGTACAGGTCGTTGTCGTGGTTATAAACTCCAAAGAGCGGAAGTAAGGTAAGGTTATAATTGAATGACAATGAACTGACTACATCTATAACCCTGTTTTTGTTGTTTTGGGGGGAGGGAAGGGTCTTGTTATTTTTGCAGTTGTCGTTGCTGTTTTTTTAATTTGTTTAATGGGACCACGTTCCGACATACTCATAAATAAAAATCATATTACGTAAAGCCAGACTTTACCCTATCTGAAACAATCATTCAAAGGCAACAATCATGCAAGATGATCGTTTTTTCTCTCTTTTATGTGTGTGTGTGTGTCTCCCTCTTCCTCTCTCTCTCTCTCTCTCTCTCTCTCTCTCGCTCGGTCGTTTTCTCTGTCTGTCTGTCTCTCCGTCTTTCTGCCAATGTTGTTCCGCCATTTGCTTGTTTGCCGGCACCGGCCATTCCTTCTTTGAGATAAATTAATATAACATAATAATGATGTACACAATTTATTATACCGTATGTTTATTATAGGGAGCGAAATAGAAAACGAGCGGCTGATAATGTCAAAATGCGAGGAATATTACTGTACAATAATTATACAAAGTAAAACTTTTGAATGAAAATCTCTGTTGCATCAAATTGATATAAAAAATGTTTATTATGCTATACTGACAATAATTGTATGCGTCGGACATTAGTCTTCAGCGAAAAGATATCTATATATAAACAAAAGGACAAACTAAAGGGGAAACGAAATCGGAGCTGGGGGGGGGGGGGGAGGGGGGGGTGATCGGAGAAACAAATATCATATAAATAAATATAGTACGGACTACGTCCGACTTTCTATCTCTCCCGCCACACCTCTCTCTCTCTCTCTCTCTCTCTCTTTCCCTCTCCCTGTCTGTCTCTCTGTCTATCTGGCAATGTCGTTTTCCATCTTCATTTTTGTTTAATAATGTTTCTATTCCTTCATTTGCTTGTACCGTGTACGCCGACAGCATCTCTTCCTTGAGATGAATTATTATAACATAATTATCCCTTGTGATGTACACATCATACCTTATATTTATTATAGGAAAATCCTGCGTACGCCACTGGATATGACATGAACAGATTGCAAAGCCGATTATACGCGACCAATTTTATTATACTTATTTTGCGAAAATTTGTCAAATTAGAAAGAGTATACAATTTTTGTTAATGATAGAATTAACGTAAGTTGATCAAAAACGGTTCAGAAACAGCTGAAATATCAAAAAATAAATCCGTTCAGATTTTCGTCGATTCATATCTATACTAACTTGGGGGAGGGTATGGAAGAGTGTTTAAAAAAGTCACTTTAGAATTATTGTTATTATTACCATTAGTATTGTTATAATGCATTTTATAAAGATTTTCCTTTACTGATCTTGACGCACCGTGAGTTCATTGATTTATACCAAAACAATGTCAAACTCTCCCGTCTGACTATTGCAAAGAACGGCATGAGAAGAAAAGACACGACGCAAAAAGAATACATAGAGTTTTATTTTAATACGATATGGGTTGTTTATTAGAACCAAGTCAAGAGAGGAGAAGAAACAAAAAGGATTTGACTGACAAAATATAAGTGCTTCCAAGCTCATGCAGGCTGTGGCAATGTGCTACAAGTAGCGTGAATATATGATATTAAATTCCTTTGTTCATTATGACGCTAGAATAATATCGCGACGTGGAAATTATACAAATATGTTGATAATCATTCAAATTGCAAACATACACAAGCGTCCCAAACAGTAATCAATTTCCGACTATAACCGCATACATGTATTCATTCACTCATTTGTCTTTTACTTTTTCTTGTTGGGACAATCAAGCTCGCAATTAAACAACCATTCATCGTACATAGTCATCTTTATTTCACATTCCATACAGTCGTCACAAATTTTAAAAGGAGGCGTATTAAACCAACAACAGAAAACAAATATCATAATTTATTCTGATCAAGATGAATGAGTGTGTTGATTGCCCCCCAAAACAAAAACGCTCCCACCAGACAAGTTCAGGCTGTGCTGTAGCAATGTACATCGCAAAGCTTCCACAATAATAGGAAAGATAATACCCCCGCCCGTTGCGACGCAAAACGGCGCGAGAAGAATAGATCGCAAAGCGAGAAGAATACATCAAGTTTTTACAAACAATGGGATGTTTATCAGTACGAGAACAGGAAGAGGGAAAGGCAGGCTTTGGCTGACAAATACTTTCTGTATAGCAAGTTTAAGCTGTACCGTTGTGCATCGCGCATCACGAGCGAGAACAATGACGGGAGAGATAATCTTCCATCGCCTGGTAGGGCGCAAAAGGGCGCAAGAAGAATAGAGCGGGTTTATACCAACAATAGACAGTTTCTTTTCATATGCAAGAATCAGGTGAGGGTGACTATTGCGCCCCTTTGCGCCCCTTTGCGCCTAAATGCGTCTCTTGAGGCGCAACCTTTCTATTCATGGCGCCCCGACGCGTCCGGGCACAGTCGCAACTTTGGAAGGCTCCCCTTATATTGTGTGTACTGATTATCTCATGAAGTGGTAAGGTATATACATTAAACAGATGGGGACCTAAAACAGATCCTTGGGGCACAGAAAACAGAAGATTAACAACCGATGAAGTTGTATCATGAAGGTTAACCGCTTGAGATCGATTTGAAAGGTAGGAACGAAACCAATGAAGACATGTAATAGAATTACACATCAAAAGTACAGAAATAATCTGCAGATTATTCTTTATCTAGCATTCCACAGTCAATAGCTGAAAATTTGAGAAGAATAAAAAATAGGTATAATTTTCATTGCAGATTTTTCTGATTCTTTGTCATCTAAAGTATTTACTGCGGTGCTTCCAATTTTAAGTGAAACATACTCTTTTTATGAATCTTAAATTCTGATTCATTAAGGTTCTCTTTTTTCCTTTCATTTAGACATCACAGAAAATAACCCTGACTAAATGCCACTGTTTTCCGTACATGAAATTGTTTCAATAATAGTGAGATATTGGTAACTCCGGTCTTACCGTGTATTAGGTTTATCACTCTGTGCCATCATCATGAAGTCATCATCGAGTTCATTGTCAGGATCATCAAAGTCAAAGTCTTCGTCCATGGCAGCTACGATATCAGGATCGAGATCAAGTCTGGGTCCTGAATCAAACAACATTCTAAAACTTATTATCATTGCCACTGGTATTTAATGGTACTCTTTGGGTGACAAATCAATCTATAATTCTTGTTAGATCCATTTTTAGACTTCTTACAAGTACATATTTTTGCTTTAAAGGTAAGTTTTGGAAAGCCCCCCTCTCACAAGATGAAATGGAAGCTCTTATTACCAATCATGTGAAAGAATATGTTTTGACTAATACGTGATCATACAAATTCTGCCAAGAAACCGCCTATTAATTGATATATTTGGTAAATTATTATATCTATTTGGACCTGATAGATATAATGCATGTGTCGCGGACATGGGGGTAGTCCCATATACATCTTTCTGTGTACAGTGCTTGTAACTTTATCAAGACTGGGCCAACTTTCTTATCATTTTGATGATTCCAGAACCTTGCAGTACACACCAATACTTATATGCTAGATGATTAACCTTTTCTGATCAATTCCACAACGTTTCTTTCAAAATGCAATCGCATGACCAGAACTGATCTTTATCTTGAAATGTATTTGAAACGCAGTACATTTGTAATGAATATTACCTGCTGTGCGAGTAATATCTTAGCACAAATTTATTACAATTTCCACATTAGTTCTTGTCAAGGTAGCTTGCATGGGTACATTTTATAAGTACTTTATCACTGAATAGTCCTACCCATGACCATCAAGCCATCAAGAGCAGAATAATGGAAAATACCGTTTTTATCAGGGTGTTTAATTTTTTCGAGACAAAATGTAATATTCAGTCAATATGTAACAAAAGCCTAACAATATGTGGAGTTTACCTGAAATGGGTGCAGCTCTGTTCAACATTCCTACGTCTTCTTCTTGTTCGGATTGAAATACAACTGCTGGGAGCTGTAGCTTAGGTTTCTGAGAGAAGGGAGTAAAAGGCAATGAAAAATAATTAGAGAGAGAGGGAGATAGATAACCGTACAACTTTTTTTGCTAAAATCGTCTTCTAAATTATACTTCCCAACTGTCGTGAACTGGATCAAGATGTGCTTTCAAAAATCAAACTTGATTTCAAGATCCCACCGCTGCTACCATGATGAGTTTGAGGGTCTTAGTAATGGTACATAACTCAGGACTAGTTTCTGTATCCCACTGCTGCCACCATGATGAGTTTGAGGGTCTTATTAATGTTACATAACTCAGGATAATAGAGAGTCAGCAGGCTGGTTTGTTATGGTAGACATGTTGTTTATTCAACTACGATGGATACCGGATATTTGGATATCGCAGTCAGTCAGTATAAACCTGAACTTATAACATTGCTTAGCATGTATTGCTTCCATTTTGGTGTCTAAAAAAAAATTGGTTTAAATATTACAGAGATAATAGCAACTGACCTCAATATATCAGGTTAATGCACACATACAAGGATAAAACACAAAACAAACGGTCTATGGGAAATACTGAGCCATAAATCTCCTAGACGTATTGGTAAACTCACCTCTGATAAGTCTTCCACTGTAAAGTGAACATTCTTCTTTGGTTTCGATGATGCTGGATGCTGGCTAAGCTCCCATGCATTCTCACCCTTTGATTCCCGAATATGCTGCATGTAATTATAATCATCTTCATAGTAGACCCCAAACTTCTGTTGCTCTTCAAGTTGGCTCTGCTTACCCTGCATTAAAAACAAGCATCTTTATTACACAATTCAATACTCAATGTCATCTTACAGTACCCCTTCCAATCATTGTGGATTTTTCTTGGTCATATTGGAATCATGTCATTAGATGCATTACAAATTTCATCATTCATTTATCTTTCTTTTCTTTTTGTGCAGCATATGCTAGCATTATGTAATATCTGTTCAATTTCATCATGAAAAACTGTCATTTATCACTGGAGAGAAAGAATGCAAGAAACCAGTATCACATTCATCACAATCACCATCACCATTGCCACTACCACCACCACCACCACCATCAATCATCATCACCGTCATCACCATCATCATAACAATCATCACCATCATAACCATCATCACCATCATCATGATCATCATCATCATCATCATCATCATCATCACCATCATCATCATCATCATCATCACCATCATCATCATCATCATCATCATCAACATCATCATCATCATCATCATCACCATCATCATCATCATCACCATCATCATCATCACCATCATCATCATCATCATCATCAACATCATCATCATCATCATCATCACCATCATCATCATCATCACCATCATCATCATCATCACCATCATCATCACCATCATCATCATCATGATCATCATCACCATCATCATCATCATCATCATCATCAACATCATCATCACCATCATCATCACCATCATCATCACCATCATCATCATCACCATCATCATCATCACCATCATCTTCAACATCATCATCATCATCATCATCATCATCATCATCACCACCATCATCATCATCATCATCATCATCATCATCATCATCATCATCATCTTCAACATCATCATCATCATCATCATCATCATCATCATCATCATCATCATCATCTTCACCATCATCAACCTCAGCATACAGAAAACCATCACAATCACCACCTCTACTTACCTTTCCATGGCCTGCTTGCTAACACTACCCTTATCCATGTTACCCAATAAAAACAAGGCTCCAATAAAATGCTTTGATGTGGATCTATCTTACCTGGTTTGGGTTCTCAACCTGCTGCAGAACAAACTTAGAACTCTCATCATCAGCTTGAAGAGGATCACGTTGACTTCTGTGAACAAGACTGAATGTCACAGCATTCTTCTTATCAATGAACTTCTTCTTCTTCCCTGGCTGCAAAAATTGAAATTAGTAATAAGTTATACAACATGCATTTGAATTAAAATAATAATAGGCTTTCATGTCTTGACTTGTTATATGAAGATAAAGACAAGAAAGCTATAAACTGAAAGCTTAGCTACTTCATTCAATAACCACTACAGTGTATGTAGACCTATATCACTGCACTCAATAAAGAAATGTCAATCAATGTACAAGTATATAGGATCGAATATACTTACTACCGGTACTCATACTGCATGGAGATTTGATACAGGGACCCTTTCATACACTCTGAGAAAAGTTTGATTACAAGAAATATGTTACTCAGAATAAAATGAGTTCTATGAAATTATATTACATGAGCTTCAAATATCAATCCTCCTCCCCTTCTGTTTTGTTCTTTTTATTCTTCTCCTCCTCTTTCTCCTTCTTCCTCATGAGCTGATTACCCCCCCCCCCCCCTCTCTCTCTCTCTCTCTCTCTCTCTCCCTCCCCCTCCTCCTCCTCCCCTCCTCCTCCTCCTCCTCCTCCTCCTCCTCCTTCTCCTCCATGGGCCTGGCCTGGCCACTCTCGTGATTCTTGAATCTTGTTGCACTTGTTCTTCCAACTTTTTCTTATCTTTCCTGTTCCTTTTCTCCATTTTTCCTTTCCCATTCTTCAATAGTCATTCTGTTCCTTCTTTCTTCTTGTTTTTTCCTCTTTGCCTTGTTCCTCTTCTCCTCCTTCTTTCTTATTGGACCAACAGAGTTTATTAAGTCATTGCCATTTAAAAAAAAAAAATTGTTATTGTTTTTATATTTTACAAATTATAGCAGTGTGAGTGTGACCGTGAGGCATGACTGAGGCAGAGGCTGAGCCAAGTGTGCATCACAATCACAAGTTTCATGGCATGCAAAGCAAATGCTAGGGAAGTACAGTAAATGAGAGGTGGTTTTGACATATTTCATGAGCTACTACAATATCAAAAACATCTAATAATATGAAATATGAATGATCAATATTCAATATTGGTCCCATGCATGCCATTGCATTGTACCGTTCTGCGCAGCGATCTTTACAGACACATAATTCTTAACATATGGGACCGAAGGCAAACAAAAATGTCGTAGCTAACAATGTAAAGCAACATTTTCACAATACTTTCCACTTTAATCACGTCATATGTCATTTTAAAGTATTACGCAACACTTTACTATGTAAATATTAAATTTATAACTTACCATAATTGCGTTTTGCTAGGACAAAAGTGGTGTAAAATAAACATGCACACAGCATGTACGCTGAACCTATCGCTCTGAACACTTGGGAGGTTATTATGGTATCTTCAAGGCCGGGCGCTTGAAATATATAATTTTCACCCTTCGCCCTACGAACACCCAGAACATTTTCCTCTTTGTAGCTATAGCCATTCTCCCAGTGGCAGATCCAGAGGGCCGGGGACCCGGGCCCCTTCCCTTGGGAGAAAAAAAACGTGTAAAAACACGTTAATTTTACCTTTTTGTAATTTTTTTTTTTATAGATGGGCCCCTTCCCCTGGCGCTCAAGGGGGGGGGGGGGGGGGGGGTGCGATTTTTCAAATTTTCGAGGGCCAAACAAAAATTAGTGCTCACTACCCCCCCCCCCCCCCCTCCCCCCCCCCCCCCCCCCCCCCCCCCCCCCCCCCCCCCCCCCCCCCCCCCCCCCCCCCACTGAGCGAATTATCGGCCGGCGTGATCTTCATATTTTCGGGAGCATAAAAAAAAAAAAATAGTGCTCACTACCCCTCCACCCCCATCCCCCCAGAGCTTACAATAGAATAACAGAAAGTGCAAAAGAGAATCGACTATAGGCAGGTTTTAGGCCCTAACATTTCTTGGAAAGATTACCTAATATACACCATAGGCGTAAGACGTATTATGGGGGCTGGAGGCCGGGGGCTGGGGGCCAGCGTGAGGACGAGGGCGTATTTCTCTCACCTGAATATCACCTTTCCTAATTTTATAGTTTTAAGAAAAAGCAACATTTTTTAAAATTTATTGTACCTTGAAACGTCATCAAAATTTTAGTCTCTGGGCATTTTTTAAATATTTTTTTTAAAAGACATAATCTGGAAATTGTTTGTTACAAATGCCACCTGCAAATGTTACAAATGTAGACCATTGTTTGTTCAGTCTCTTATTTCAGATTAAGCTGGACCCTTTAAGGTGAAGAATTAAAATAAATATAGGGAAAATAAATCTCATCCGTTTGTGACTGCTTGTTTGAAAGAAATATTTACATCTTCAACATTAGGCTAAAACAGTCCTTCTTTATGATCAAACTATAAAACTGTGGTGTAATTTAGTTAGTTCATTTGTTTATTTTTGCCATTTCAATAAATAATGGTACTATTCGTTGTCAAACTATGACAGAAAATAATCTCTAAAATATTGTTAACATGCCTAAATAACTTTTGATATTTGCGCCTTTGCATGTGCGTCCATATTACCGCCGTTACATGTTTTGTAATGCCATATGGCCCTGTGGGAATACTTGTAGTTGGGTCTAAATAATATCTGACATAGACAGTGACTAGTCTTCATCCTAGACTACTGTAGTGTATTACTGTGTAGGTTATGTCGTCTGCTACTGTGTAAATTCATTTTACACCTTTCTATCACTGTCACTCATCACTTCAGTGTAACTGCTTAACTTCGTTAGACTAGGCTACTCGTTCCAAACACTCCACACGCAGCTCTTCTTTGCTCTATTCATCGCTCTTTCAAGTCTCTGCTCATTTAATGTGCACACATACTTAATGACATACCTATGCCATCCCTTGCAATGATCTCGATGCGATTATCGTCACACATGTTCCACATACCGACATTCGTGTAGCACAAATTGACTCAGTCTGAAAATGTCCAATTGTTTCCATTATAGTTATAATATCATAATCACATGAAGACTTCCGATGAACATATTCAAGCGATGATTAACAGAGGTCATAGTATAGAGTTCACTTTCTGCCTGTTATGGAGCTTATAAGCTTATGAAGGAGGTTGAAAACTGGTAGGCCTTCCGACATTCTTCCAACAACTACAAATTCGTTTCCCTAGCTACCACGTTCTTCTAACCTGCCGCAGAGGGCCTAAATTCAATTTCTGCCAATAACATCCCGGCCCCTTAATTGTACTTCTTGATACAATTACAATCCACACTTATGCATACATGCACCTTTAATAGTGTAGCTTACCGGATACTACCAACAACTGAGTTACATACGTGCACCTAAATATGAAACAGATTTCCTATCAAACTGACTACAACCTTGTAATCCTTACATAACTGCATTTCCTTTATCATTACGCATATGTAGCTGTTAATGCCCGAGGGCGACACAATTTCTATACCCTGTTTGCTCACTTACATAAAGCTATGCTGTCCAAAATTTACCTGAACCTCTTGCGTTTGAGCTAATCTGTCACATTGATCAGACATTCTGTTAAAATAAACTACAACCTCCATTTGCAAGTTACCTGTACAAGATGAACCTGAATTAGAATATGCCTGCTTCTGTCCATTTTGATTTTTTAAACAACAAAGCAAATTAACATTATAACAACCAACTGGCTGTAACAAAAAACTCAAAACCTTTGTCTTATCATCGAACAAACATATTTCAAAGTAATACACTGTATTCTTTGATAGCCCACACTTTATCGTTTCTATTTGTTTACATTATAAACTCCTTTGAGCTAATGCAACTTCCTGTAAAAGGCAAACTAATCGAATCAAAGATGAATGACTCTTGTCATCAATCTGTTTAACCAAAACTGCTTCATATAAAATGTGTTTGCTAGAAATCATCACTCAACATCTTCATAAAACCTACCGGTATAAACAATCTAATAATGTAGACATACAGTGGATTCTTGCTACACCTGCATATGAGTTCCAATCAACAAACAATAATTTGCATTTTAATCCAATATCAGGTCTCCTTTTCCTGTGCATTTTAAAATAGATTAACACTAAATTAGTTTTGACCTTGCAAGTTGCATACTGATTCCACTGTAGGTCTGTGTTATAACCTTAACTCTTTGACCTTCAAATAAACATAATGGCAAGCGATATTTTTATAATAGCAACTAAACAAACATTAATCAGCTATATTTACTTATTAACCTACTCGTTACTTATGCAGATTTTTCCCTTGAAACATTATAAATACAAGCTCTGCACTCATCAAACCAATGCTATACTTTGCCATTGGTAGTTCTTCAAACGACAACATTTAACTGTGTCTCAAAACCAAAAAACTGATTTCTTTACAACTGCATTCCAGTCAAATTAACAAACATTCAATTAACCATGCAATATCTTCACAATTAACAATAAGATACAAGTCTTGGAGTTATCATAATCTTTGTTTACTCCCTAACTATTAGAAACATTAACCAATTAACCCAAAGTATCAGTTTTTAACCTGAAACTGAAATCAATAATACCTTACAAAGCCATTCAAAACCATGAGCCTTTGATCATAATAAACATAATACATAAACTCCCATGGCTATAATAATGTGTTCTGATCCCAGTGTTTGCTTAAACAGGGATTGACGGTACTTTCGTCATTATATTCTCAACTCTTTCTATGTTCACATGGTACTGTATACAAACTACCGTATGATGTAATGTCAACAAACATTATGCTGAGCAAACTATGACTTTAAAACAAACTCATCATTTAAGAAATCTTTGTTATTAAAGTTCGTACAATTATTAATTGATATACAATCTGTGTTACAAATGTTTGAAAAACATATGACAATGTCTTGTTGTCAGGTATTCAAAAATATAACAATCTAACAATAATTCACATCACCAAATTGTACATGTATGTGCACTTCTTTCTAGTGATTACTTTAATGGTCTTTTTATCCCAACAAATTCACAAAACAAGTTCAACTTTATCCAGCTTTGGTGTGACATGGAATCCAACCTAAATTAGAGCGTCATGTACATATATTGTCTTGTATTAGAGCGTCATGTACATATATTGTCTTATATTACAACCTGTAAGTAACACTAATTCGAATTGAACAATTCAGCCATTGTTCCTGCACAAAATGCATATCTACCTTTGGAAATCTAAAACTTTCTCCAAACTGATAATTCCAAATCTGAATTATATAAATTCTTTGCCTATGAAATCGAGGTGGCTGATCAAACAAATAGTGTCACTGCACCACTTGTGCTTTAATATCTGCCAAAATACAAAACATAATTTTGCAAATTTATCAAACGTTTAAAAACATTGTTTAGCCTGACAAAACATCAAATAAAAAACTTATTCAATTTCACAAAATCTTAAATACTCATGCAATGCAAACATTTAATATAATGTCCTCCTGTCTTGTTGCTATTCTCTGAAAGTCTGAAAGTTTATGGAACATGGACATCACAAATTGTTCTTCATGTCTTGTTTTTGTTCGAAGTTTGCAGTTAGTGAGATTCTTCTGAAATTACTTTATCAGCTGATCATTTATCACGCTTCAAACACTTGAATCTGCATCCAACTTGTTTATCTGATGGAGTAAATTATTCTCCATCACAGAAGAAACTCGACTCGCGATTTATGAATTGCTTTCAACACACGGTGCTTTAATGTTGCTGGAAATGCTCTTGATCCAAAATAAATTGACGTTGATCACAAAATAATTTTCATTGGCGGCGCTTGGCTCGCACCAATTTTACAAAGGTATTTTATCACAATCCAAATCATTCTCTGTCACGGAAGAAACTCGACTCGCGATTTATGAATTGCTTTTAACACTCGGTGCTTCATAGTTGCTGAAAATGCTCTTGATCCAAATAAATTCACGTTGATCACAGAATAATTTTCATTGGCGGCGCTTGGCTCGCACCATTTCACAAAGTATTATATCAATTCCACATGGCGGTTGCAAAAATCGACGTCGATTACAAAATAAGTTTCATTGGCGGCGCTTGGCTCGCACCAATTTCTCTTTTTGATCCAAATTAAATTCACAGTGATCGATCCAAACTTCACAAAAAACATGCTATCACATTCCAAATGATACGAGTTGAGCACTATTCTGCTTCCAGGAGCGAACACAGCTTTATCACTGGCCTCGTGAGTGTTGTGGATTTTGTCTTTATCCTTGCACTGCGAACTAGACCATCTTTACCCGGATATACTTCCTCCACTCGTCCCATCTGCCAGGAACATCTAGGCGCGTCCTTATCAGCAATCAAGACGACGTCTCCCACTTGTAGACTGCGATTTGGTTG